TCAGGCATTTTTCCTTCTTTTGTGAATTTCTGTAACATGTTTCTTAGCTGCAGGTGCAGTACAAACTAGGGATGCACGATATTATCGGCATATATCGGTATCGGACGATATTAGCAATAAAGTTAAATATCGGACATCGGCCATTCCATCAAAATAACTCACAGATATAAAAGTCTTCTGTTTTAAGTTAATTTTCTATTTAAGAAACTGTTAAGTATATCTATTAATGTGCTACTACTTGTGCACTTTTCACTTGTCACTTGTGAACAGGTTGAATTTAGATTGATGAAAATTTAGAAATTTGCACTGTTTGAGTGTTGTCATTGTGTTAGAGAGAGTAAATGTCATGATAAATTTGACATTAAACATAATCCAAGTTGAAGTGTTACATCATTTTCATCCCCTTTTTTGGCATCTGCATTTGGTAGCAGGTCAAACTGACAAAGACCGTGCAGAATAATGTAGTGTTTTAATTCCACAGCAGAGAAAGCTATGTATGTAAGTAGGCCTAGGGGAAAAAAATATTGGTATTGGTATCGGTTATTGGCCAAATAAGTTTTACCGTATCGGCATATCTAATGTCGGCCAAAAATCCAATATCGTGCATCCCTAGTACAAACCAATAGCAAACCTTCTGCACCCTTTGGTGCTCATGTAGAGGTTGTGTCAGGAAGAAGGATGGGTGCAATGGTTGCACACCCTCTTTACATAGCCTTGTTTACTACTTTTAATCTTACACAATTATCCTCAATTTGACGTTTTATTCAAAAACGAAAAATTAACAAAACCCGACTTTTCCTTTGGTTGGATGTGTGTTATATGGACATAACCATCAACAAGGCTCTCCAAGGTTGCTTTGTACAAAACAGTAGTTCTTTTAAACTATAAATATAGTTATATTTTAAATTACAGACCGCTTATGGTGTTAAACACTGCAGATGTTTGTCTTTATTTTTTTTAAGCCTAAATACTGTACTTCCAGAACACAACTGCAATTTAATGATCTACTTTTACAGTATGTAAAGGGAAAAGTTAAAACATGCCAAACTAAACGAAGCATGTTTTAAAATGTTTTTTACTTAACCTATTATGACTGAACAACCTTTTTCAGTGATTTCAACAAGAATATTCTTAAATAAATTTGAGTAAAAGAAAAATTAGATTTAGTGACATACATCAACCACAATTCAGTTTTTTTTTTTTTGTTTGTTTCTTTAAGAACATTAAAAATGAGTGAAAGCTTTCAGAGTGAGTCCTCCCTGCTTAATGAAGGCATGCAAACCTTCTGGTCTTTGACTAATGGAACAAACAAACAAATACTTCTTATGTTGATTTAATTCTTAGAAAGCTGGCTTTTTGTTTTGATTTTAGAATGTGTAAGTCTATAATTTTCCATTTTGAAAAGTAAACCGTCATGTTACATGTGATGCAAAAACCTAATATCATTAATTTTACATGAAACCACAATATCCTTGAAATCTGAAAATTGTTGGATTGTATACCTGGTTTATTGAGCATGGACTTTTTTGGTTTTGAACCAGTTTGACATGACTGTCAACAAGGAAGAGGGCTGGCTCCAGAGGAGGGGGCGTGCCAAAGACACCGTCTTAGCACCAACATAACTGGTTTGTTCCACTTTGGAGTAAGATGTTTGGGGAAGAACCAGTTTTGTGTTGTATGTTTCCTTGACTGATGAAGCCTTCTGGATGGTAGGTGAAACGTTTCAGCAAAAAAAAAAAAAAAAAGAAACTGTCCAGATGACCTGACTGAAAATCGTTGGATTGTATACCTGGATTATTGAACATGGACTATTTTGATCCTTTAAATCATTTTATTCTAAGGTTTCGGTCCAGAACATTTTAGCGCAAGAACCACGGAGTCCAACTTCACATGCTGGCTGAACACTTTTACACATATCTAAATAGAGTTTCACAATTCTCCATCATTTCATGTTTCAAAATATGTAATATCAGTTTTAGTTCTGTTTGGTTATTAGAAGGAAACTTGGCTAAATTACAGGAAATTATCTCAGGTGAACTCAAAGCTGACCTTGTTCAGACAGGACAAATTTGCTCTGGGTTTTTAAACCTTTTAAACTTTAAATATGACAGCTCTTTTTAAATGGCATTGGCTCTTTTATGGTTTTATATAAAATAATAGTTTATTTAAAAGGCAAAATAAAGAATTGTGACATCGTTTTTGTGCTCCGTAAAATCAGATATCAGGAACTCAGTCCATCTGAGATTCTTCGGCTTGGAAACGTGGAGTTGTTTCATTCGATTAAAGTAATCGAATGAGAGTTCTTGGGTCTTCCTGCAGATTATTTTTTAGGTATAAGGGGAGGAAGACTGAACTGAAAGTTTCAGCTTGTCTCTTTAAGCAGCAATGTTGTCGCACAAACTTTGAGCAGGGCGTGAGTTTAACTTGAGGTTTCTCCGTTAAATGTAGCTCCTTTGTACATTAAAACATTAAAATTGTTAGCTGGATTACAAGTTCAGTTTCTTTCCTCCATGATATTTGTATTTCAGGTCTTTTCTCCCACTTCACAACTTCTTTGCAAACCTGGAACAGTTTACCTAATCTTCAAGAATAGAGGCTACTATTACCTCACATACTTCCTTTCAACAAAAGTGACTCCTGTCCGTTTCTGTCTGCCTTGGAGTGCTTTCACTACTTAGGATGTATAGAAAAGATGGATGACACCTCCAACTCGGGAAATTGAAGTCTGTGCACAAGTAACTCTTAGACCTGTGCTCTTTCTGATTGCTGAAAGGGACTGTGTTTTTATGTTTGCTGTGGGAGAGCTTAAATTGTGTAGACAAACCTCTTCTTGGATTTATTATTTGAGGTATTTCCACCAAAGTAGAGCTTGTTTTACAAAAGGCAATTTATGATGAATGCAGCTTTTTTTAACTTTCTAAAATAAAACTACCGGTAGTCGTGCAATTCACTCGTAAATTTGGCGTTATTGCATTTAAATCAGGCTGTCAAAACATGTCTTTGGTTTGCTGTTCTTGAGCCCACAAAATTTGAATGGGTTTTATTTGTGAGTCAAGGTTGTATATTTAGTATTCAATAGTTTAAAAAAACTTCAAATTCTTCAGCAGTTTTTTGTACTTTTTAGACTAAATGAAAGTCATGGTGAAAAAAAAACACTTCAGGAAGAAAGTCACACCGACAGCTTCTACTTTTTGTGCTTTTTCAAACGAGATATGCTCAAAGATACAAAGTCTTCATTTCTTGGTTGGTTTATTCAATCTTCAGAGCGGTTAATGCAATCAGATGGAATAGTCTGCTCTAAATACCGAGCTGCGAGGCTGCTGTCCAGCTGTTGCTTATCCCAAGGTAAAAAATGGGACAAATCAAGCCGTAATCCCTCCTCAGTCTCTCTATTGTTCTTAGAATAATGTATTGTTAAAAAATCTGAACTTGCAGCATCTGTTGAATCCTTCTGTCTGCTATGTCATGTTAGGGTATCAAAGTTAACAAGCATTTTAACTAAAGAAAACATTCCCAAATACACGTTTAACTATTCTTTTATTAAAATAAATCACATTTTTTCACAATAGAACCTTCTCTTAGTTAATTTTATTTTGATGTTGTTTCAAAATTTTAATAGTAAACCTAAAAATAATAACGAAATTTGCAATTTTGGAGAGTTTTTTGTGATGTCATTAGATTAAGATATTAAAGGGATTGTTCAGATCTTCTAAAGATGGGTTCAGTGGAAAAGTTATGAGCAAATAATGTCTTACTTAGTTCTTTGAACAACTTCAGTTTGTAGAACTAGAGTCATTCAGACAAGTTTAACCAGCTAACAGCTAGTCTGAGCTGAGCTAGCTGAATATCAAAATGGTTTCAAGTTGGTGCCATCTTACAAACGACCCGTCTCTAAAATTGTATAACAGTTTATGCAACCCCTGTTTCATAAACCTTTATTTAGTCACATCAATTTTCCACCACATGTATTTTGTGGGGCAAAAATGTTAAATATTCCTGCAGAAAGTGTTCCAGGCTGCATTTAATATTACAGCTATAGCCGCTGCTTTTTCTGTCTCACAAACCTCTGAAATTGTTATTACAGGTTATTTATGTAAATAACCTGTTTTAAATGGCAGCATTCCACTTTAGTCTTGGCCTTGCTTAGATTAGCTGTTAGCTCATCAAATTAGGCCTATTTTAAAGCATCATCTTATTTATCGTGATTTTTGGATTGTAGATTGGATTATTGTGGTTTTTGACTTGAAACATTAAAGAAAGTCCATGTGTATTAACTAGTCCTGCATTCCATTTAGAGGAAGTTCTGCTTGTAAGCATGTTACAGAACAACCAGCATGGGCAGCTACAGAAATGGTATGCAGCCCTTGTTCTTGTGCCTGTGCTTTCTCAACTATTGTATGTCGTGAAAATGTGAATAGGTCTACTAAACTTTTTTTTCAAAACTGAAATCATTTAAAGATCTACCCACAATAGGTAAGATATTAAGTGTTGAGAACTTTTCCACCGAATCCCACTTCAAAAGATTTGAGTTACAATAATCACATTTTATTTTTGTTTTATCATCTCTGTTGACTAACTATAACAATAAAAGATGTCACATAGTTTCTCTTCACCCCCCCCCAACCCCAAAATTGCAACAACATTGTCTTAAAAAAAGCCAGTTTTAAGTTAAACCCAGTTTCAACACTACAAATGAGCATAAACAGGCTTCTTAAAAATTGTAGATTACACTTTAGAAAAACATATTTTCATATCATATAAGAAAAACGTATAAGGATAATGTTTTTTGTTGTTGTTTTTTATTGGCTCAAAAGTGTGTCAACATTTAGCGCCGTATTCTTTTTTCTTCCCAGCAGGAATTTGTAAACAGCTAAGATTATGATAAAACTAATTGTTGAAAAATTTATATCCAATGGATTCATACTCCCTTAAAGAAACTAAAATGGAGTTTTAAAAAAAAAATCCTATGTGTCCTGATGAGCTCTCTCTTTTCTTTGCAGGTTTCCCTGATTTTCCAGGGAGTTCTCGCCTTTTTCAGTGATGGAGGTATTGCAGTGTGACAGCTGTGACTTCCGTGCCGAATCATACGATGACTTGAAGACCCACATTCAGGAAGTGCACACTGCTTTCCTCCAGCCCTCAGATGCAGATGATTCTGACTCTCTGAGAGATGAGGATGAGGATGAGGAAGAAGAAGTACAAAATGAGGATAAGGAGGACAAGGATTATGGGACTGCTAATGCTGGAACAAGTATGCTTACCACAATAATCAGATGTTGCTGTTGTTTTGTTTAGGATAAAAAAAAAAAACCCACTTCTTGATTATTTTAAACAATTAATCATTACAAAGTGCTCATGTGTATTATTGAGTAGTGAAGAATTGTTCATATAATCTCAACAAAATGCTAATTATTTTCTATTTTGTAAAATATACTTTTATTTTCTTTCCTTTAGGCCCCAACTCTGCTGATGGCCCCAATCATACTTCACAAAAACAGACTGCTGAAACCCATCTTCCGTTTTACCAATGCAAGTTCTGCATCCGTTACTTTAGATCAAAGTCACTCCTAAGAAACCACACCAAAAAGGTGCATAATGTCACAGAGGACGATTCAGATGCGAGTGTCTCTTCGGAGACCTCCAAGCAGCCCAGCCACACTGTAGTAATGCACAATGATCACTCAAAAGTGTTCTCCTGTCAGTATTGCGCATACACGTCTCCCCGCAAAGCAAGGATACTGAAACACCAACAGATGTACCATAACAAAGTTCCTTCTGATAGCGTTGGTGATGCTCCAGAGAACATTGAGAGTGAGGAGGAATCTGATGCAGCAAGCCTGCTTGTGAAGGGAATATTTCTCTGCGAATGGTGTGACTTTCAGACTGACCAGAAAGACAGATGGACTAATCATATGGTAAATGAGCACAGTGATAAGGTCAATATCCTTTCTAGCCCTGAAAAACTAGATGAGGAGGCAAGTGAAAGCTCACCCAAAGCAGATTCCCCTGCATCTTCCCAAAGCCCAACTAGAACAAAGGCGATTTTTCCTGAAAAGGAAGATTTGGCAGATGAAACATCAGAGAACTGCTTGGAAAAGTTTGTCACAGAAATTTCTTCCATACACTATGCCCAGATCAATGCAGTTACACCCAACAACACAGGTTCTTCAATTTTATCAAAGAGGTTTGTCTCATGTGATGTTCCTAACAGTGTTACAGATATGGATGTTGCTGCAGTCAATGAGGATGACTCAAGGAGCAGCTTAGAGGATGATGACGACGACGAAGAATTGGGTGATATAGATGACCCCAGTTATACTGGGACCCTGTCTGCTGATGCAAAGCAGCTACTAACTGATGTTGATAACAAATTACTGGAAACTAAAGGAATACCCTTCAGAAGGTACATGAACCGGTTTCAGTGCCCCTTCTGCTCCTTTCTTACCATGCACAGAAGGAGCATCTCCCGCCACATTGAAAACATTCACCTCTCTGGCAAAACCACAGTATATAAATGTGATGAATGCCCATTCATTTGCACCAGCCCTCTGAAACTGGGAACGCACAAGCAGAGCCACAACCCCACAGATTTAGACATGCTGGATCTGACAGGTGATAGTCCAGAACCTCAGAATGACATTGCCACAGAGCCCGTTAATGGAGGAAACATTAGCTCTAAGGTAAATGGAAAAAAGACCACCAGCACATCGAACGACCAACAGCACCCTCACCGCTGCACACTCTGCAGTTTCTCTACTACCACGCTGAAAGGGCTGAGGGTCCACCAGCAGCACAAGCATTCCTACTGTGATGACCTAGATTCTACTGTCTTTGAAAGCCAGCTGACTGACCAGCCAGATTCTGAAGTGGAAGCTTCTCCAGTCTTTCTACAAAAAACCCAGACACCTATTTTAGGACTTGCCACCAAAAAACCCTTAGTTATGGGGAAACGAGCCAGAAAGTCTATTAATGACTTGCCTTTGGATTTGTCCTCAGTCAAAAAGAGAACTCGAATTGATGAAATAGCCAGTAACCTTCAAAGCAAGATAAGCCAAAGCCAGCAGGACATGATTATAAATCTGGATGACATAGATGATGAAGATGCTTTAGAAACTGGTGATGAGAGTAGAAACCATGACAAAAATCCCATCTTTGCTTATAACACACAGCAGCCTTATAGAGATTCAGCAATCTGTCATGAAGGCAGGATTGGGAAAAGAAAAAGCAATCCTAAGTCAAAGCACAGGAGCATTCCTATATCCCTTACTCTCTCAGACGATAGTGAAAATATCTCGGCCGATATCAGTGACAGTATAGCCCAGGAGAACATGGACTATTCAGATGATCCTGGAATGACCCGTTTCTACTGTAAACACTGTGATTACCACAATAAATCTGCTAGAAGCGTCAGCACCCACTACCAGAGGATGCATCCCTACATTAAGTTCAGCTTTAAGTACATTCTGGACCCAGAAGACCAAAGTGCAGTCTTTCGCTGTTTGGAATGCTACATTGAGTACACAAATTACAACGATTTGCACCAACACTACATGGATCACCATCCTGAAGCAAGTAACGTGCTCAACTTCAACCAACCACATTTGCTATACATGTGCCGCTTTTGCTCATACACGAGCCCCAACGTCAGGAGCCTGATGCCTCATTACCAAAGAATGCATCCCACCGTGAAGATTAATAATGCCATGATCTTCTCTAGCTATATAGTAGAACAGACTCATAAAACCAGTGAATCCCAAACTCTGAGGGAAATACTAAATTCTGGCCCTAAGAATTTTTCCCCGTCCAGTTCGATGGCAAGATCCTCCTCAAGTCCGGTGCAAAAAGCTGTCCCGAAGTCCCCTGAAACTAGTGCAGAAGCCGAATCTTTCAAAGAAACTGTGAGTGGTAATGTGGTTGTGTATGACTGTGATGTGTGTTCTTTTGCTAGCCCCAACATGCACTCAGTGTTGGTCCACTACCAGAAGAAACATCCGGAGCAGAAGGCGTCTTATTTTCGCATACAGAAATCAATGAAAGTAATTTCAGTGGATCAGTCACAGCCTGCAGCCAACTCTTCCTTCAGTCCTGGCATGTCAACTTCCACTCCAAAACAATCAAATGTAGCAGCATATGGATCAGAAGAAGACATGTACTACTGTAAACATTGTGTTTACAGCAATAGATCTGTTGTTGGTGTATTGGTCCATTATCAAAAAAGACACCCAGAAGTGAAAGTGACAGCTAAATATATCAAACATGGTCCTCCCACTCCTGGCTTGATGAAATTAATGGATGAACTGCAAATTGCAACTCCCAAACAGTTTTTGAAGCAGTTTCAAAACAACGGTCACGATGGCTCCAAAAACTCAAGTCTTAAACTAGGGGGTGGTGAAAAAGGAGAGGACGAGCTCTTTTTTTGTCAACAATGTGATTATGGCAACCGCACTGTAAAAGGAGTTCTCATTCACTACCAGAAAAAGCACAGAGAAACCAAGGCCAATGCTGACCTTGTGCGTCGTCACACTGCAGTTGTTCGGAGTCAGCGTGAACACGCACAGATGGTCCAGTCAGGCGGTGTTTCATCTGCAGCGATCTCGGCTCCTCCAGACTCTGAAAATGCTATGCCTTTGCGTTCCCTCAAATGTAGACACTGTTCCTTTACAACCCCTTATGTCTATGCTCTAAAGAAGCATCTAAAGAAAGAACACCCTACTGTGAAAGCCACAGCCATGACCATTTTACACTGGGCCTATCAAGATGGCATCCTGGAGGCAGGCTATCATTGTGAGTGGTGCATTTACTCTCATTCTGATCCCCAGGGTCTGTTGCTTCACTACCAAAGACGCCACCCTGAGCATAATGTTGATTATGCATATATGGCCAGCAAGCTATGGGCAGGCCCTGAAACCACCCAACAGGGTGGGAATATGGAACCTAAACATTACAAATGTAAAGACTGTGCCTTTGAGGCTTGCACCATATGGGACATTACTAGTCACTATCAGGCTGTCCACCCTTGGGCCATTAAAGAGGATGAATCTGTACTTTTAGATATCATCAAAGAAAACGGCTCAGTTGAAAGTATCCAACAGCAGATTGCCAATGAACACGCATCCCTCAATTGCCAGCCTGATGATGGAGCACTAGTCATTTCTACCCCACCTCAAGAAAGCAATCTTCACTCTTCTCACCCACGCCTTTCCATTTCTAATAATCCTTATCAGTGCACTGTATGTCTGTCAGAGTACAACAGTCTTCATGGTCTCCTCACTCACTATGGCAAGAAGCACCCAGGAATGAAAGTAAAAGCTGCAGATTTTGCACAGGAGGCGGACATCAATCCTAGCTCTGTGTACAAGTGTCGTCACTGTCCATATGTGAACTCCCGCATTCACGGAGTCCTAACTCACTATCAGAAGCGACACCCGCTAGTGAAAGTCACTGCAGAAGACTTTGCAGATGACGTAGAGCAAATTTCTGAGTTGCATGAAGGAGATGACAAGTTCAAAACTCAAAGACAGGGATATGGTGCGTACAGATGCAAAATGTGCCCGTACACACATGGGACAATGGAGAAACTTAAAGTCCATTATGAGAAATATCACAATCAGTCTGCTTCTGATATGTTCTTGCCATCTCTGACAATTTTTTCTTCCAGTAAGGAAACAGAGCCAGTAGCTGAATGCAGTGCTAGTAATATGTCAAATATAGCAAAAGTCCAGGAGGTGAGTGAACTGGACTATGCCCTTGCTCAGTTACCCATCAATAAGACAGAGAAACATGCTGTGTTCAAGTGTCAGCTTTGCAAGTATTTCTGCTCCACGAGGAAAGGCATTGCTCGCCACTACCGTATCAAGCACAATAATGTGCGCGCTCAGCCAGAAGGTAAAAATAACGTTTTTAAATGTGCCCTATGTGCTTACACAAATCCAATTCGCAAAGGCCTGGCAGCTCACTACCAGAAGCGACATGACATTGATGCCTATTACACGCACTGTCTGGCTGCCTCCAAGACTATATGTGAAAAGCCCAACAAAGTTCTAGCACTGCCACCACTGGAAGGGGGGTGTTCAGAAATGAGCGAAGACCTACGTTTGGCTGTGGAACGACGGCGGTGTAATCTTTGCGGCTTCCAGGCTTTCAGCAGGAAGAGCATTGTCTCACACTACATTAAACGCCACCCTGGTGTCTTCCCTAAGAAGCAACACTCTAGCAAACTTGGTCGTTACTTCACCGTTATATATGCCAAAGAGCCAGAGAATGCCAGCGCTTTGGAGGAGGAAGACAACGAAGCGATGGAGGTTTCGCTTGAACCAGAGCAAGACAGTGACTCTGACTGGCTGCCATTCAAGTGTCTGAAATGCTTCCGGTTGTCCTTTAACACAGGACAGCTGCTATCTATGCACTACAACGACCACCACAGCATAGACTTGAAGAGGGACTTTTTAGTATCGTCTGATCCTGAGGATGAAGAGACTGAGTTCTACCAGTGTTCTCACTGTGAGTTTAAGTTTTTGGATCTCCCTGCTCTGGCTACGCATCTTCTCAGTCACAATGAGGAGTTTGAAAGGCAGGCCTTGAGGTATGAGAAGAGGAAGCAGCTTCTCAGCAAGCAGAAGATCAGACAGCGTCCAGAGAATAAACCTGAGAAGGTGAGCATTACTAATCTCAGAAAATTTGTAAATCAAAAACCTAATCTGGCAGAGGATAATAGGGCAGTGAGTAAGTTTTTAATTATGTTTTATTTATTTACTTTCATTTTCAGGAAAGCCTTACAAATAACACCACCCCCATAGGATTCAGGTGCAACTTCTGTGCGGAGATACACCAAACCCTCCGAGCGATCTGCAACCACCTTAGGAAGCATGTGCAGTATGGAGAAGCCAAAGTGGGTCATGTCAAGGTACAACCTGTTCAACTTTTCTTTAATGCAGTTGTGGCAGTGAGCACTTCTTCAATATTGCTTTTTATCTTCATGCCATGTCAAAAATATTCTAGATAATGCAAGAGTGAATCATTTGCAACAACTGCAAGATCCTTTTGTCTTTACTTTAATGCTGTTATCTCGAGATCATCAGTTAATTATCAGAATCCCGAGATGCTTGTACAAGTTAATTATTATGTAATTAGGAGATTTCTACGTGACATTACCAGCCATCAAGGGTTTTGTACCAGCAGGCGTGGATGGTGTTTTAGTCACTATAGCAACTGATTTTAGTAAAAGTATGTCAGACAAGAGGGAGGCTCTGATGCTTTATCAGGTATGTCCGCCATCAGGATTTATGAAACAAATGTTTCTAAAAGAGAGCAAATAGAGTTGGTCAACCTTTAATTTGTGTCTGCTGTAAGAAGAATTAGTCTGCGCTATTAAAACTTAACTCTGTATTCATGCAGATATGTTGGCAAATCTAAAATGTGGAAATCGAATGTGGTAAAATAAAACAAAACACCTTTCTATAGATATCTTGTCAAACATGATTTATTGAGATAACAGTCATTTGTGTTCGTCTAAAAAAATCAAAAGGCTAATTCATCTCATTAGAACATTATTATTATACATCTCATTATTGTAATTTATTGAAATAATTAAAAATATTTTCGTTTCTGAAAAGGGTAACTTTTTTTATGAATGGAGTTGTTGTGATGCATCAATTTGTTTTTGTTTCTCACACAAAATGGATTTTAGTACAAAACCTTGTAAACTGTATCAAAAAACAATGCGGATGTTTAAACGCTTTGCTCATAGTCCAAAATGGATATTGACAATATTCTCAATGCCTGTGGGTTTATTGCATAACTAAAAATTCTAGTCTGCAACTCCGTTTGTTTATTTATTTACAGTTCTACTTGTATAGATCATATTTTACAACACAAGCCAACTCAAAGCATTTTATACGTATAAAACAATTGAGCGGTTCCCTAAAAAAACATGCAACACATTAATAGTAGTTTCATCAAGTACCAAACAGACTGTACTTAATAAAGATGCATTTCTATGTTCTGTTTAGTGTGGATAGAAGGCCACATGTTGCACAAGTTACATCACTTCCTGTTGTATCAACCTCAGTAAGTCCAACGAAAAAATTACAAAAAATAAATAAATAAACTTTACACTGCACAAACAGATGTGCAGAGTTTCATTATGAAATTAGGAGTACTGGAACCCCACTTTTTTTTTTTATATATTAAATTAAGCTGACAAAATGAGACGTAAGGTGACTCAAAATGATGTGAACAACTCTTCTAACATTATTTGAAACATCCTTTTTTTTCTGTCCAAGAAGGACTCATTATATTTTTTCTTGTTATAGTTTTTACCACAAAGATGGGTTATCCAGATGTTATACTTATAACTATGACCCATCTCCACCGAATGGAATAAAACATTTTTTTTAATGTTTTAATCCAGAAACACTGGTTTCTTATCGTGATGGATGAAGGGTGTTCTGAAAGAGAATTCAGGGCCTGGATGGCAAGGTTGGGTTTGTGGATGCCACATCTTATTTATGGCTGGATGGAGTGCAGGGTCAGGTCCTTCCACAGAAAGAATGAGTTTCCTTCAGGCAATAAAAAAAGTCATGGTAATTGTCTGTCTGCTCGTGATGGGCCTGAGCGACTGACCAGCACTCCAGCAGATGAGGCTGGGGCAGAAAAAGATAAAGAGGTTTCATTCGGATGTTGGTTTGCTTTGCTTTTGGTGAATGAAGTTGCAGACTTGGTCAGAAGAAATACTTATTGGCTTTGATAAAAAAAATCGATGAGTAAACCTACATTTATTTATTTATTTTTTTTCAAGAGAAGTGTTTTAGGTTAGGATTTAAGATTACCAAGTCTGGTGTTTTTGCGTCTCTCCTGCAAAGTAGTCACATGAACTGAGTGAGAAACGGCTCCAGCTCGAGCTTCACAGTCGACGTTTGCACTGAACCGGAGGCGTTGGAAAGATAATTAGGTGTTGCTTGTGTCTTCATTTTATTAACGTAGAATTTGCTGTTAATGCCAGACTCTGAACCAACCACAAAAAATGTTAAAACACTGTTAAAATATGTCAACAAAACTGTAATTTGCCAGTTATTTAAACACTATTTTTAATTTTAACAATTTGACAGCGTATTTTATTTTGAAGCAGAGAATGTCAGTTTGTGGGGTTTTTTTTAAAGTTTTTTTTAGAAAAACGATTGGAGGGGAAAAAACGAGGCCTTTAGAAACAAGGATGAGGCTTATCCTCTTTGCATTCTCAGGATAATGGTTCAGAAATTATTTTAGAAGGAAAATGTTAACAAAGGCTTTTACAGTAAGTGTTCAAATGTAGCTAAACATGAGACTTCTGTGGTTTTGCAGCAAGAAGTCAGTGAGGTCCTCTTGACCCCGTCTTCAAAGAGCCTGCCTAATGGCGACCTAGATGAGGTTGAGGCAGCTGAAGCCAATGGAATGGAGACCCCAGCAGCAGCTTCAGCAGCAGCGTCTGGTGATGATGGGATGGATGGCGTTGCATTGGAGACTCTGGATCCAGACACGGATGCTGTTGAGGGAAGATCGGCGGCCCTCGTGGCTGCAGCCAGAGCCGTGGTTTTAGAGGGCCATCTGAATCAGCGGTTAGCAGCGGGGGGCCACGCATGTGCCCAGTGCGATCGAGTCTTCATGTCCATGCAGGGGCTGAGATCCCACGAGAGGAGCCACTCGGCCATGGCTCTGTTCAGCCGCGAGGACAAATACAGCTGCCAGTACTGCCAGTTCGTCTCACCCTTCAGACACAAGTAATTACAGAACGTCGAGCATCAGTCTGTTCCGTTTGTTCGGTTCTGAGAGTTATCATGTTTTTATAGTTGCAGCTGCGTTTGTGTTCATTTTGTTTAAAAGCCTAGCATTTCTTGAAGAAATGCATATTGCCCACCATCATGCTAGTTTTAGACTAAGATCATCTAATAGTGAGAAGAAACAAAGCTATAGCTGTTTTGGTCAAAACTTGTAAATGACTAAAACTAATGCACAATCTCATGTGAGCGTCAGGATGCGTTAGCTCTTTGAGTAAGTGTTGAAGACGACTCTCAGCTACTAGCACACCGACGTTTTGCTCAGTAACTGTAAAACTGACTGTTATAGACATGTTTATGTTTTCTAAGCTTGCATAGCAGTGGTGGCCATCTTGAAGGTGGTTGCCTCCAAATGTTAATTAATCTGTTCTAGATGTACGTCCAGTCATTACATTTTAAGAGTTTTATTAAAATCCATCCATGAGTTCATTAGATACTTATATAGATAAGAACACAGGCACACACAAAGACCAGATAAAAACAGTATTGTCCTTTTGCCTTCAGCAGCGGGGGATAAAAACCAATGGATCCAGCCAGACTTGTCCAATTCGTAGCCCTTTCCACGCCATTTTAAACATCTGTCTTCGCCCTCGTTCCTCCATCTGTTCTTCAGATCACCTGGTTGTTTGAACTCATTTTGTTCTGCACTCCCGTTTTACACCTCATCCTGTTTACCCAATCGCAGTCCCTCTGAATCTTCAATCTTCTTGGAGATTTCCTGCCTGCCAGGAGAGAAAGACAAACAGTACGGCCAGACGGACGTTTTGCTTGTGTGATTTGTTTTTATCCGCCACAGCGACACAAGGAGAGAGCGGTGGAAAGAGAATCCTCATCTCGTCTGAGCTCCCAGGTGTAATCCCTCTGTACTGTATGTGCCCTGACCCAGAAAGAAGCAGCATTCCCCATGCCACCTCAGAGGCTGGCATTAAAAACACAGCTAACAGTCCTGCAGGTGCTAATACACTTATTCCCAGCAGGTAGATGAGTTCTGTCTTATCGCTTCTTATGTAGTCATTGGAAATATGTGGACACTTTGGGTCTATTTTTATCCTCATTTCATCTCCCTTTATTTTTTTTTATTGCTTTCCGCCAAAAGTTCAAGGTGGACGTTAATGTTTTTGCTCATGATTGTGTCTGCTAGCAAAATACCACATGAACTGATGGACATACAGGTGCATCTAAAATAATTAGAATAACATGAAAAAGTTCTATAGTTTTTGTCAGTCATTTCAGAAAATGAAACTCATATAGATTCATTACATAGAGTGAACTATTTCAAGCTTTTATTTCTTGTCATTTTGATGATTATGGCTAAGAAATTATTAAAAAATAACTAAATACAGTGTCTAAGAAAATTAGAGTATTCCACAGCCAGCTGTCAGTGTGGGCAGGAGTCAAGTCCTGCTGGAAAATAAACTCAGCATCCCCATAAAGCTCGTCAGCAGAAGGAAGCATAAAGTCTCTAATGTCCTGGTAGATGCTGCGACTTGTAATGAATCAATGGAATATGCGAGTTCCACTTTCTGAAATGATTGACAAATAACTTTTTGACGATGATCTAATTTTTTGAGATGCACCTGTATTTTAATGAAACTTTCAGGGAATAGTAATTTGATGTACAGTAGTCCCTCATTTATCACGGGGGATTCGAACCCTGAAGCCCCGCGATAAGTGAAAAGCAATATTCTAAACAATGTTTCTAAACTCTAAACGCTCTAAAAGAGCACAGAATGTTATGATTTTTGCTCTCTGCCTCCGGCTGCTCTCTGCCACCTGCTAGCGCTCTCGGCCACGCCCACTTCTCTGCTGCAGAGCTGAAATATGACACACTGCTGGAGGAAGCTTCTGCAGCTGTGCGCTGCACAAAGGTGCAGCAGGTGCTAAATAATTTAAACTAATTTATTTTAAATTAAATATCCATGCCGATCGTGCGGCTCATCCATCAGTCAGCCAGTTGTGTGTCAAGTCCAATCTTATTTTGAAAAAGCGCGATAGAGCGAGTCCACGAAAAACGAACCGCAAAGTATTGAGGGACCACTGTACCTACAACTGATAAACAGTTGGAGCTGCTCCAACTCAAGATGGCCACCACATCCAACTGATTTTAGAAAGCACAAAAATGGCTATATTTCAGTCAGTTGTACAGATACTGTGCTAAAGTTTGGTTTGATCATAGTAAAGTCATTCAAACACAAACTCCCAAGTGCTACTCAAGCTGTGAAATCTTTGTTTAAAACTACAGATTGAAGATTCAGAGAGATGAATAGAGTCAGCCCTTTTTGTTAGCAAAATATCTTATGAACCACCAGATGGATTTAAACAAAACTCAAGAATGTATTCACTAGATTTACATGATTAACTTTTGCTGTTGATCCATTTAAAGAAAGCATCCACAGCTAGTCAACAGTAGCCAGTACAAAACTGCCTATAAGTGTCACTTTTACAAAAAACGATAGTGTAATTTGATGTAGTAGCTGAGAGTCATTCAAAACAAAGTTTGTTCATGACATCTCAGTGAGATTTCACTTCATTTTCAAGGTTTGCACAAAAACAGTGCCATCATCTCTTACCAGATCTTACTCCAAAACTCTGGCATGATGTGGATTCTTTCAAGGATTGCTAGATCTTTATTGTTTATAATGTTTTGTGTCAACAGCTTGGACAGGCACGTGCAGTCCCACCACGGTCACCACAAGCCCTTTAAGTGCAAGCTCTGTCCCTTTAAATCTGCTTACTTGAGTCGCTTGAAGAGCCACCTGCATAAGGCTCACACAGGTAACTCCAAAACACACAAACCTAACAGCAAACTCCCATTTGTCATCTATACGTGAAGATACTGTCATGCTCTGAACAAGATGTTTTTACCAGTAAAATATAAGAAAATAACCCAATAAGGGAGAATTTATCCTCCTCTGGTAAGGCAGTCAGATAAGATTTGAATGTAATAGCCCCACTTTTCAGGATGCTGCTTGCCTTTTTCCAACTTAAGCAAATAGAGTCGGAAACGGGAAACAAGATGCGTTCAATCCCTCCTGGGTGCTTTCAAAACACAGGGATCAGATTAGCTGCATTGAGCTCTAACTTGTATTTGAATAAGACGTGATCAGCTGATTCAAATCTGAAGGGCTCGCCTAACTAGTTTTAGATTAGTCATTTCTACCTACAGCAGTCCACTGACTTTTGCAAGTCCACATCTTGTGCTCCTTTTGTATTTATTTAAAAAAATGAATCAACCGTGCCGTGATTTTTTCTTTCTCCTTCAGGTGAGCAGCACACGTACAGGTGCTTGTCGTGCTCCTTCTCCACTATGACCATCAGCCAGCTGAAGGAGCATTCTCTGAGGGACCATGGTGAGGTGTTGACCCTCCCTAAACTACGAGCAGCAACCCAGGCTGCACATGCTGCCATCAGGCACCCTCGAGCGGCTCCTAACACTCATCTGCACCCAGGTGGTAAGAGATTATCTGTATCTTTATGAAATGAACATGAGATCCAAGAATGGCTGACCAATTTAGGAAAAAACAGTTTTATTTTCAGTTGTTTGAAGACAGGTTATTTCTGTACACCTCATATAAAGCTACAGCCATCAAGTTAATAGCAAGTGACGAAAAGATGTTTTAAATGACCATAACTGAGGAAGTTTACTTTCTTTATGCATTCACTTTGCAAAGATCTGAGAAAATAACTAGTTGACAGCTCAAGTTGCTTTGTTTTAGAGAATGTTTTGCATAAAGCAGGATGTAACAATCGTGATGAAAGCTCGACCACACTGCATTTTGTCAGAGTTTATAACTTTTCCACCGCAATATTTCTAAATCAACTTTCACTAGTGGCCATATTATGGTTGTGACTTTACAATAAGGGTATAGAAAGTGGAGTGCTGTATTTCAATTCATTCAGGTAAATGTTTATTTTTGTTAGTTTCTTCAATACTTTTTTAACTAAATAATTTTATATGCCAAAACAAACTTTGTATCTACAATCACCCTTATATTTCATGCTGGTAATATACTGAAAAGGGTAAATATCTAAAATCTAGAAAAATTGCTTTTTAGGGGGTGGAAATTGTAGTTTGAGTACTGAGGGAACTTGCTGAAATTTACTGATGAAGCTAAAACTGAAGTGCTTATAAGCTAAAAGAAGCAATACATTAGTTGAAAGCTAAAAAAAAAAGTGCTTGCTAAAAGCTAAATGTATCAAAATGCTAGTAAATAGCTAAAAGTATGGAGTCAGTACAGATTATTGTTGGATTAGTATTTGGCAAGAAAAGGGTCAGTATTGACCTTGTTATTGAGTCTTAAATAAAGATTGTCGTCATTATTCGAAGTTGGCTTTGGACCCAAGGAAGCAGATTTACACAAGGACTCCAGAAAACATTGATTTTAATCATAAAAATATACAAAACAAGTACATAAATCACGCAGAGGAGAAGCGGTCAATGTATGAAAGCCCAGTGGCAGACTGCAGATGACTGAGGGATGAGAGAATAAATGGACTAGGGCTGATGAGGTGATATGAGAATGCTGGTTTAATAGCAACAGGGAACAGGTGTAAGTGGGCGGGGCAAGACTGAGGAGCAGAAGCTAACTGGGAAATGACAGAAAGCACAGTAAACAAACTAAACAAAAAACACAGAAAATACAAATCCCCAAACAAAAACATAAACACAGATTGTGACATTTGTCATATTCTGATCAGTTTATACAATGGAATATTTTACAATTATACTTTTAGCTGCTGAGACTAATTAACATTTTACTTAACTATAAAGGATTTTAGTTATAGCATACCATTTATATAGCTAATTGTATATTTTATTTAAAATAAATCTAAATAGTATAGAAATGGTAACGTCCTTGTTTTTTTACTCCAACTTTAAATAAAATTAGCTTTACCCTCAAGTATGTTCACATGTAACCTTCATGAATGTCTTAGCTCTTAAATGTACAACAAAAGGAGCGACCCACTATGCATTTGTTTCAGAAAAAAACATATATTAAACCAAAATTAGTATTACTGTATTCAAAAATGTACACATCTAAGTGTATGTCATTAAAACTTTCCTTAAACATTTGAACCTGTGACTGAATGGAATTTAATATTTACTTTAAAATGTTATATATTTACCACAAACACATCAGGTTTCATTGAAAATCTCCATATTTGTGTGTAGTTGAAATCTAATATCCATGTTCACACTCAGTGCGCCGCGGTCATCTGGGCATCATCAAGACAAACGAGCTCTGAGTGACAGCAGAGCTGATGGATTGAATGTCTCCCTGTTGTGCCAAACTTGCTACCATCAGCTGAACTCACAAGGTTCAGACTGAAGCAGTTTTTCTCTCGTTAGTGATTACCTAGCATTTTGAGTGTTTAGACTTCCCGAAAACGCTAATAATAAATACACCTGGAAGAGTGGAGACATTTAAACCCAAGTTCCTTCAGATCAGTCACTGAGCAAAACAGCAATCTGTCACTTCGCTCTAGAGCAGAGGTCATCAACAATATTGGCTACACGATGAACATTTATCTAAACGTACAATGTAGAGGGCGGTAATTATTGGCATTCTTTAGTTTATTTCAGTTCCTGCTGTCCTAAATGGATGCCGTCTGCCATGCTTTTTCAATTAGTTTAACTGAATCACATGATCTAAATGTTAAATATTGGAAAAAATTAATAAGGTGTTTTAATTAGCCTAAAGTCTAAATAAAGCATCTAAATTACCGTAATTTCCGGACTATAAGCGACTATTTTTTTCACACGCTTTGAACACAGCAGCTTATGCAATGCTGCGGCTAATTTGTGGATTTTTTTTTTTTTTTTTGGGCTGACGAGCTTCATGCCAAAACATTTAGCTTCGTCACACCCAGGCGCTCACATAGCTGCCCAATACACGTCTCTCTTATTGGGTAACGATCAATGACTTCCTGGTAGACTATTGTTTTTTTAATTATTAACCACGTTACATGCACTGTTCAGAAAAAATAACATTTACTATATTTGTGCGTGTTACCGTTATGTATTTAATTAAAAGTTTAAAAAATCCTTCTGTGTAAATATCTCGTTACAACGTGAACACCCGTTGCTTATACTGTAGAAAAGGGCAGCCTATTTATGTAAAATTTGAATTTTCTTTTTAAATTTAGCGTGCGCGGCTTATATTCAGGTGCGTTCAATAGTCCAGAAATTACAGTATTCATAAATGTCGAGGGTAAAATCAGGGTTATGTTTAAAAATGAACATTTTTCAGACATCTTAACTCAGTAACAGACAAAATAAATATCTGTTTGTAGTTCCTGTTTTTAGTATTCTACACCACCTTACAACCTAGCTGTTTTTTTTGCTACTTTCCCTTTTAATTATCCTTTTAATTACCATTTTATTTTCACTTGTTAAAAAAAACTATCTAAATTTGTACTCATCCTTTATGATTGTCTATTGTTGTCTTTGTTGTCCACTGTTGTCATCACTCTTTGTTAAAATCAGGTCTCTCTTGTAAACGAGTCCTCGAGGCTCAATGGGATTAACCTGCCTAAATAAAGATTGAATGAATCCATGTATAATTCTATTATATCTGGGAATTTTTTTAGCTTTTTAAACGTGTCTAATGAACCATCCGTTCAAATCATGGAAATACTGTAAAAGAAAGCTGTTGTCTGATTGGCTAATGCACTGCTGTCGTTGACCTTTGCTGAGCAGGACTACATCTGCTCTGTCTTGTCTTGTTTGTGCAACGTATGTTTAAATATTGTAGGACCTGATGTGACGAGCTTGTAGACCGAAAATGGCCCTGCGGCCATCAGTTGACAAGCATTAGTCTAGACCACATGTCAAACTCAAGGCCCGAGGGCCAAATATGGCCCTTGTTAACACCCTATCTGGCCCTCAAGATGATCTTTTAAAAACAAAATATTTTTATTGCTTCTCATTTTATCTAAAGACTCATCAGTCTTCGTTTAGTGCTGTTGTGCAAGTATCCCGTCTTATTCATGCAGTGCACTGAACAGTTTTAAGAAGAAATATCACCACCTTACTTCAGAATTCACTATCTGCTACGTCATCTCCAAATATCACCACAATGCAGAGAGGATATTAAAAGCATGAATCAGCCGAGACATTGTTTGAGTCATGCAAATTTTTTCTGCCTCTTCCGCAAAAAGAAAAAAAAAAAACATCTGAAATTGGATCTGAAGAATTTCAAAAATAACAAGTTTAAATGCGTTTTATTTTTTGTTTGCACGCTCCATCCAACTTGGAGTGCTGACAGAGGCATTTTTCACATAGATACATATTCTATTAGTGTCGCTTTGGTTTATTTATTGATGTGTTGGAGGCTCAAAGTAGGGCGAGAATATGAGCTCAATCGCTGATATCACAGACTTGTGAGAGAGCGAATGAGGAGGGGAGCAGGGAGGGTACGAGTGATGACAGCCACAGTTACACTTCTGTACAAGTGAGGAGGGAGGCGATGTTTATGTTACATACTTTATATTCAAGTACTCATATTCTGGAGCCAATGCAAATACATATTGAGTAAATGGTTCTGTCAAACATCCAAATGAAGAGAAAATGTCATTTCTTTGATTTGGGACTAATGCCTGAGTTGATGGTTTAGTCTTCAGAATTTTGAATAAAGATGTAAAATACTTCCAGGGTTGTACTTCCAAGCTTTATAGTTTATACAAAATAAGCCCAGAATGCACATTGTGTTAAACATTTAATTCTGTAACAGCAGGCAACAATGTCAGATTCCCTCCTGTCAGCCGTAACAGAAATCTGTCTGCACAGCCTTAAAACAGGAAGAAGAAAAAAACAGTTCTGATAAATCTCAGTTTCTTCTAGTAGACTGGTCACAGCACTGACTGTTCACACTTCAGACTACTGGTGGTATAATGGTGCACAGAGCATTTTCTCTGCACACTTCAAGCCCCTCAGGTTCAATCAGTAACCGTCTGAATGCCGCAGCTGATCTTCGCGTTGCACGTGCAGATCTTCGCGTCACTTCTAATGGTGACCTTTACCCTGATGATTTACCATCTAATTGTGCAAAGGTTGTCTCAAACTGATCTCATGAGTGCACTCCCAGTCACCAGACAAGAATCTGACAGAACAGCTTTGAACTGTGGTGGTGGAGGAGACACGAGGAGAGCATGCAGCAGACAAATCTGCAGAAAAGATCTAATGGAGAGTCCATCATAGCATGAACTGAATATGATTAAAAAGGAACACGAGGCTCTGCTTTGATTTAGTCATTTTGGAGCAGTTTGTAGTTTTTCAAGATGTTATCAGACATCTTGTACAGTCAATATACAATCAATCAGTCACTCTAGAAAGACTTTTGTGTAGGGATGCACAATATTATCCGATATGCCAATATGTTAAAACTTATTTGGCCGATACCAGTGCCGATATATTTTTTACTTAGACCTACTGTAATTACAGAGAATACATATCTTTTTTTCTGCTGTGGAATTAAAATACTACATTATTCTGCATGGTTGTTGTCAATTTGGCCTGCTACCAAATGCAGATCCAAAAAGAGGATTGAAAACGATGTAAAACTTCAACTTTGATTATGTTTAATGTCAAATGTATTCATGACATTTATTCTTTAACACAATGACAACGCTCAAACAGTGCAAATTTGTACATTTTCACAAATCTAAACTCAACCTGTTCACAAGCGACAAGTGAAAAGCACACAAGTGCATTAATACAGTAGATATACTTGACGGTTTCTTAAATTAAAAATTAACTTAAAACAAAAGCCTTTTATATTGGTGAGCTATTTTGATGGAATGGCCGTTGTCCGATATTTAACTTTATCGCTACAATCATCCGATACCATGTCGATAATATCGTGTATCCCTACTTTGTGACATAAACATTATTTCTCTGTTATTTTTACATCTTATGTGACTACTTGTGTATGTGCCTTTGTATTGAAACTCTGGCCCAACAGCTTCTTGTGGGATCAATAAAGTTCTATCTTATCTTATTAAAACAGGCAAATACTACAATTTATTAATGCTACATTTTAAACATGCTAGTGCTACAATTTGAAGATGCTAAAACTACAATTTAAGCAGGATAATACTACAATTTAAATCTGTTAATGCTTCAGTTTACACAGATCATTGGTTAAAACTGCTGTGTCAACACTAACTTTTATGGTAATGAACTCTTCTTTCTTTCTCTTGTCTCCTCTCAGATCCGTCATATCTGGAGCCAGCAGATGTTCGTCAGCAGCTCAGTCAATACAAGTTGGCTTCTCGCTGTCAAATGTCTTCCATCTTGAAACCCGGTGGCTTGACAGGGTGTGACGGTCGACCAGAAGTCATCCTCATGTGTGAATTTTGTGAATTCAGCTCCGGATACATGCAGAGTCTGCGTCGGCACTACCGGGACCGCCACGGCGGCAAGAAGCTCTTCAAGTGCAAAGACTGCTCCTTTTTCACCTGCAACAAGTGAGGGAACCTCAACATTTGCTGCACTTTTCTTTATTCCAAATAAAATGCCAGACTTGATGTAAAATCTAATTATTTACTGTCTTTTAATCTGTTTCAGGATTAACTTCTCAATACACGTGGAGGAGGGTCACAACAGTAATGCACCTGAGGAGATCTCTAATGACCTGCACTGCCCCCTGTGCCGCTACCACACCAAACAAACGAGCAACATGATTGACCACATTGTTCTGCACAGAGGTACACTTCCATACAAAAACCACCACATCAGCTTGATTTTTATAGGAGTACGTTGAAAATGTCACAAGCTGTCCTCACTGTATTAATGCTAAACATCCACATTTATTTTATAGGTCGTTTTTTTAATTGGCATGAAATGTTTCTCCTTGGGTTCAGCTTACAAAATTTAAAGTCTACACATATTTTTAAATACAGTGTGTTTAACTATCAAAGCTGAACTACATCAGTTTTCTTCTTGTTTTCTGATCCTTATCAATAGTTAATGTCCCACCAAAGAAGTGTAGAAAGTCAACAAATCAGTAACAATATAGCAAATATTGTATGTGTGTATGTATATATATATATATATATATATATATATATATATATATATATATATAATGGCATAAAAAGAGGTTTTTTTTTTTCTTGAAAAACAAAAAGGTCCTATGTCTTATTTTTATAAATAATTCCTTTAATAACTTGGTTTAACGTATTTCAAAATCAGATTTATATCTTTTTTATTAAGGAAAATTATCTGATCCTTTCTTTTTATGGTAACATATTCCTTGTAGATATAGAATATTTTTCATTTTAACTTGGTGTAATCTTAAACTCAATGGTTTTATTTCATAGGTCTATACAGTGTGTATACATTATTTTTTGTAATTACAATGAAATCATGCAATCTACATTTGTAGGTGTTGTTTATCTTTTCATTTTCCTAAACAAAAAACTCCTATTTTTATTTAAATCCTTGCAGATGGCTGCATTCAATTTAAAATCCTTTCTAATATTGATCCTCCCCTCATGAATGCAGTGCTGTAAAACTTGAATAAACACGAAGAGGTTAGCGTCATGTGATGACTGTACACATGGGAATCTGCTTCGTCTGCACTTTCTGTTGACTTGAAGTCTCCTCCTGGTAGTTGTTGCTCTCTGCCTGGCTTTTATTCACAACAGAGCGGCGCATTGTGCAGCTAGCTGCATCTGTTTTATTTTAAAGTCGGCCCTGCAGCCATCTATCTGTTCTAACAATCTGTTTAATCTGCTGCTCCTTCCACCAGAAGAGCGTGTGGCTCCGCTGGAGGTCAGCCGCTCCAAGCTGTCCCGCCACCTCGAGGGTCTGGTGTTCCGGTGCCACAAATGCACCTTCACGTGCTCCAGCGACCACTCGCTGCAGCTTCACCTGCTGAAGCACGATGAGATCAAGCCCTACCAGTGCCAGCTCTGCTACTACGACAGCAACCGCCAGAGTCAGCTGGAGGACCACCTGCGCCTCGAGCACAAAGTCAGTCCAATATTCGTTTACGCAACTATGTAGATGCTGTTTAAAGTGTGATTATCCATTTTAAGAGCAGATACTAATTTAAATTAACAAAACCAATGACTGGAATAAGTTTTTATGGCTTTATCTGTTTTTTTGGGGGTTTTTTACAAGTTGAGTTAATTTATTAAGCTACTCTGCCATGAAAAACATTTAGGTAACAAATCCACCTGTTAGCCTTTAACAACAGAACCATTTGGATCCAGTGTTGTGAAAAATTGTCAGCCTCAGTTTAAAGCATAAAGATGGACGGGTCTGAGATATTTAAAGAGTTAAAAATCAAATTGGAAAAATTTCAGCTCTAGAAATGCACATTTGTTTTGGACTTTTCAAACACGTTTATATAAATCAGTCAATTTTTCAGATATCGACCTATAATTTGATGTTCTGGCTTTTACCCACTGAAGACTTTTAACATTTTATTCTAATCCTAACACTGAAAACTACTTCTTGTTCTTAATCAGGTTATTCGTAACTTTGATCTGATGGGCCGGGTCAATCTGGACCAGCTGGAGATGATGCAGGAGCAGGAGAGCAGCACAGAGGAAGAAGAGGACAGAGAAATGATGGAGATGATTGTGGATGGACAAGCCACTCTCGAAGAGGAGGAGGAGGAGGAGGAGCTGGAGGATGACGATGAAGGGATGGAAATAATTGAGAACTTGGAGGATGACCAGGGAGTGATGGATGGTAAAGACACGGAGGAGGACTTCAAAGAAGAGGAGAAGGAGATGGAAGAAGAACAGGAAGAGGAAGAAGAGAAGGGAGAGGAGGAGGAAGAGGAAGGAGAGGAGGCGGAGGAGGAATTCAAGGAAGTGGGGACAGAAAAACCCATCCAACAAGGTACGTACATGAAGGAATACATTCTCAAAAATCATTTACCATAATTTCTGGACCATTGAGCACACCTGAATATACTGTAAGCCACGCCCACTTTTCAGTGGCACCCATATGGCCACCTCATTGAAAAACCTGTAGGTGCCACTGCTCATCACATCACATCGTGACAGATGCAGTAGAGTCCGATTAAGTTGGATTCATGTTTACTGTTTTGAAGGAGTTTGTGAGCCTCGGTATCGTGTTGGTGCTTCTAAATAAAATCTTCAGGAGCTTTAATTCTTATTCATTTTTATTAGTTTTATTTATAGAAATAGTTTTATTTTATTTCTTGTTTTGAACCACTTTGGCCTTGGCTGCCTCAGAGGAGGTGATGGGGGAGAGGGCGGGCCCCAGAAACCATTTTATCACCAGCAAACTGTTTTTATTTTTTCCCACTGTGAGTGTTCTGCTTGTGGGACTCAGTTTGTTGTGGCTCCTCAGACTGATGAAGTCCTTTGGATGAAGGACAAAATGTCTCAGCAAAAAAGAAACCGTCCAGATGACCTGACTGAACTTTGTACCCAAAAAAATGAAACCAGGAGTTGTTAGGTGTCCTAATAAGCATGGGTTTGTTTCTTGTGAAATTAAACTGTTGTGCATGTAAAAGATACATTCTTCATGCTCTAAATATGCATTATGTGGGTAAAAAACCTTAAACAATATGGACATTGTTAAAATGTGTCTAATTATATAGTAAACAATTCCATTACGTACATGTCCTGGTCAGCAAAGAAAGATTTAATTATGTTTGCTTGTTTTTGACATTTTTTTAAATTCCATTTCCCAGAAGTCCTTGCATCTCCCAGCAGCACTGGCTCTGGGCCGAGTAGCACAGAGAAGCGTCTTCCCTGCGAGTTCTGTGGTCGCTGCTTTACCAACAGCCTGGAATGGGAACGACACGTCCTTCGACACGGCATGTTAGTACTTTTTCTCTTCTTCGTCTCACAGCATGCGCTTTTACATGCTCACCCTTGAAACCATTAGACTGTGTAATCTGTAAGACTTCAATTTTAGTGGCCAAATCATCCCTTTTAAAGGTGCGTTACAAGGAATACTTTCTGAGCAGCTTGACTTCAGCAGCAATGGTAGAAATGAACCGGTCAGTTTTCTAGGCTGATTTTGTTTTTTGAAATTTTGTTTGCAAATTACCATATTTTTCAGCCCATAAGTCGCGGGTTGTTTTTTTTTTGCAGAATTTGCATACCCTGCAATTTATACGCCGAAGCAACTTATTTATGTTTCTTTTCCCATATTTATAAACCAATTTTTGGCTGAGATCTGATGGTTTCATTCATTCTGACTAAAAATATTGAACACTTCCATTTTCAGCCGCTAAATGGCACTCGCGTTGTATGGCATGCAGTTGTGTCATGTAATAGGTAAAAGTGGCTATTAATGGCACAATCAGCTTGCCATAGTCTGCCACCTTCGTCCAGCTCGCCTGGAGCAACCGTCAAATCAGCTTCATTTTGCTGCACCGCCCCGGCGAAATGCAGCTAATTTGACCATTAAAGTGCATTTATGAAGTAAAAGTTAGACTGAAACACACCTTTACTATAATGTCCAACAAACAAATAATTGTTTTTAGGTGGTTATCTTGTTAAATTTCAAAGAAATGCACAGCGAGTCCTCCCGTGCATGCTCATACTTCCGTGTATCTGCTTTTGAAATACAGCTGATTTGACCGTCAAAGTGCATTTATTACTTTGCTATAATTTTGAGCAAACAAATAATTATTTTAAAATGTTGATCTTGTTAAATTCTTGTTAAAGTCCTCCCGTGCACACTCCCACGACCACCATCGATTTTTACCACAAAACCGGCCCACATTTCCAGGTTCAGACCACTTTTCCGGGTTGTCAGCGGTGACGCATAATAGATGCGACTTATACAGCGAAGCAACATATTTATGTTTTTTTACACTTTATTTGACATTTTTGGACTGATGCGACTTATAGGGCGGTGCGATGTGTATGTTGGAGAAAACGGTATAGCTCTGCAGATTCCTTTTTTAATCACTTCTTTATGCATGAATAAAAATGATAGTATTCATGATAAAACAAATTCTCCCTCTGTCACTGAAATTCTACAAATATTATCCTCAAAAGTTATTGATCAGATGTATTTGTACTAAAAATAAATCCATCTAAAAAAAAAACCACACATTTCCTTCATGACTTTTTTTTTTTACCTCAAACTATCACGTTTGTCAGAAGAGGTGAACCCAAATGCAAAACAAAAACTCAAAATATTTGAATGTAAAACAATTAATTCATTAAAACAAAAAAGGCAAAAATAAAGGGCTGACGAGACTGAACATGATTGGTGTGTCATGCACGGACAGGGAAGAAACATGACGCTGAACTTAAAGAGACACTAATGAGAGATAATGACAAACACCTGAGGAGAAACAACAACGATCAGGTGAAAGTAGGAGGAGCAGGAGCGTGAAGGAAAAACACTAAAAAGACCGAACAGATGAGAAAACACAAAAAACAGAATTCAATCACAAGGATCTCCAAACATATATAAACAGAGGGAATACAAATAAACTCAAGAACAGAAAACACAGACTAGGACACAAACATGGAACTGCACCATGTTACAAGGAAATATTTATTCATATTTGTTTCAAAGTAGTTCTAACAGTATGGTATGGTATGGTATAAAGTTTATTCATTTTAAAAAAGTACAAAACAATTCCATAACAATATAAAAAAAGATACAAAAGATTTAAAATGAAAGGCAGCAGAAAGAAGAAAAAATCTTATTATATCTGCCCCTTTTTTCAAACAATTATTTCAATCATAATAATCTTCAAGTAACAGAACAAAATGAATAACTTTCTAATTTTTTCTAATTCTAATACAAAACACACACTAAGCTACTTCATATATACTTTTTTAACAATTCAGCTTTGATCTTTTTCTTAAATGTACACATTGACTTGGCGTTTTTAACATCATAACATAACAACAGTATGAAACAATACTTAAGTGTTGGATCTTTTAGTTGTGTTAAACTAAATTGCATCTTAATAATTATAACCACTGAATCATTCAGTATTTATTTCCTTGTTGCAAATTAGAGGCATCACAAAGTGCCGTATTTTCTGGCATATAAGTCACTCCGGAGTATAAAAAAAACATCATGAAGAGGAAATAAACATATTTAAGTCGCTTCGGCATATAAGTCGCATTTATTATGTGTTTATTTAATGTTCAAAACTGCTTCATTTCACCTGGGCAGCGCGGCGCCATCCATCCATCCATCCATCCATCGAGGACTCGCTGTTGCAGATCTTAGAAATTTAAAGCGTCAGTCAAAATTTTATATGTTTAAGGGGGAAAAAAAGCATATAAGTCGCAGGACTTACAAATCTATGCAAAAAACTGCAACTTTAATGCCGGGAAATATGGTAAACTGGTTGAAATGGTTCTTAAATGAAAACCACAATCTATGTGCCTTTGACTTTTATTTTGAAACACCTTTCAGATATTACAAACATTGTCAGTGAAACTGTTCACACCATAAACTTGTTACTAGAACAAATGAGTGTCAGCTGTATAGTCCAACAGGAACACTCAATTATTAGGTTCACAGAAATCAGATTTCTGAGTGTCAGATTGCCCAGACAAGTAGTGTGTCCCTTCATTGTGAGAGACTTTATTACAAATGAGTTTATATTAGTTTATATTTCTTCCTGCTTCTTCTAAAGGGTGGTCAACAACAGTCTCCTGGACACCAGCGCCTCTTCAGCAATCGAGGGCTCCGCTTCATCTTCCACGAGCTCGTCTGTGTTTGCAGACTCCAAACTGGACCTGGTCAGCGACGGCAAAGAGGAAGAAAGCCCCGCCGATCTCTCTCTAAGTCAAAGCCAGTACGCAGAAGACAAAGAAATGCTCTACGCCAAAAAGGATCAGCAGTCTGGTTGAAGTGGCCGTGGGCCTCTCAGGGTGCTGTGCTACGAAACATCAGTGCTGAGAGTGATTGTAAAAAAAAAAAAAAAACTAAAAAAAAAGACGTCAAAGGAAGCAAAGAGGCTCCAAGAAAAGTGACTTTTTTTTAATCAGTTGGTGCATTAGTACTTTTTAGGTGTTACATATATAAGTATTAGGTTGTGCTACGTAGGTTGAGCTCTTTACATGGGCGGTCCCCTCGGACAGATTTTAATATATTGGTAACCAATAGTGAACAGAACTCTTTATTGCTGACATTCTGGTCAAATCTACAGTAAAAATAAAACCCCACCTTGATAAACTTATCTATTTATGAGGACGGTTGTCCAAAGCGATAAACTAATTCAGCGTTTTATTATTTCAAGCACCTTTTGCTGTAATCTGCTCACCTACAACAGGATATCTGTGATTTTACCCAAAACAAACGACGTGTGAAAGCAACAACGGCCTACTAAAGAGCTGCCTGTTCTTATTTCCTGGTAAAAGTTTGGACTTCTTTTCTTCCTTCTGTTCAGATATTCCTTAAAGAATAGCACCTTATCTTTTTTTGTTTTTAGTAAAACCCCCCAGAAGGTTTTCTTCATTTGTAGAGATTTTAAACATTTTCCCCGAGTTTCTGTAGCAAATTGCTATATTCTCCGTTTCTTAATATTATACTGAGTATAAGCCTTCGAGTTGTGACGCCCGGTTCATTTTTACTCGTTCTTTTGTTGTTGTCTCGTTCACAGATTTTAATAAGGGAAAAAAAAGAAGAAAAAAAAAATCCCCGTGAAATTTCATCTTGTTAATATTATCTAGCAGAAGACATGTTTAATGTGTCATGAGCTTATCCACATCCTGTTCAGATTCAGCCTGGACCCGAGCACGTTTGAACTGCGATGGCCTCTTAGGTTACACTTGTCTTTTCAATGCAGAACGTGTGACTGGGTGTGAAGACACCGGCTCTGACCGCAGAGACCTGGGGGCTCAGTTACATTTGGATATCAGTGCCTTACAATGCAACTCCTCCAGTAGGCCCAATTATTGAGTGTTTTTGAGAAACACCCTTCTGCAGGCGTCACCACAGCACGCAAACATCACATTAAGGATTAGGCGATTGTTTTACTCGGGGTGCCCCTCCTGATATAACCTGGATTCAAACCTGCAGCCTCAGCACTGACCACTGAGCCACCACGGCCGTGCATTAGCACATTTCAGACGTACAAATCAATTAGGGCTGCGGGATACAATATCTCAAATGGCCCTTGTTTAAATCTAACCCAGTTTGAGTTATAGCTGCAAAATGTAAACGCGTATCAGAACAATGGTTTACTGTGGAGGGGGCGGGGTACGTTCTGGAGTCTGCGTGGTCCTAATTAAGAAAACAAAGCTGACTTTTGTTGGTTATGATTGTTACATTGAAGTGATGATTGAAGTGAGTTAATGCAGCTGTGGTTTTTTTAGGAGCATCATTTCCCGTTCTTTAGACAAATTTAAGGCGAGGTCGTTCACGTTTGGAGCAACTTGACAGGCGTCTGGACCCTTCAGCTGCCCGTTGTGGCCATTCCCTCCACGTTTCTCCACGTTTGTCAGTATTTCGATTACACCTTACTTACTGAAGCCACGACTTCTTGTGAACGCTGAAAAGACAAGTGTAAACAAAAACACAGTTTCTTCGCACGCAGATATGACTGACGTTTAAAGGATGGGGGAAAAAAAACGATTCTCGTTCTGTGTTGACCGACGCGTCGTCGTTCACGTTTCGTGTGCTTCTTTTTATTTTTTACAACAATAAGTGGTCTTGTTGTTGATTATAAAAATAAGCAGAGATTGTATTTTGTTGGAAGTTGCTGCTTGAACGCCCTGAAGCCTTACGAGAGGTAAATTAAGTCCATTCGCTTTCGTCCAACTCCAGGAAGACCAACAAGAAATGTTGAACAATCGGAAATCAAACTAATCAAATTTTCTAGATGGACACATACTACGGTGATATAATTGTGTTCTCGGTACCAAAACATTCACTAAACCTGCTGAGTTTGCTGCTGTAATTGTTTTTTCTCGCATTGAAATATTGACGAAAATGGTAACTCTGGGTTTGGACTGTAGACTTTTAGGATTATAGTTCTACAGATAAAAACCCAACGTGTTTTCTCAGCCATGTATAGGAAGAAGAAAAAAAAAACTACTCGTTAAGTGTTTGAACTGTGGTGTTTCAGAAAGGATTGCTTTCTTTTATAGGTGTTTTTATTTTTATTTTAAGGAAAAATATATATATTGAAGCTAAACCTTTGGGGCTCTTCGAGTCTCATTTCCAACATAGCTGTTGTACAATGTCTGGTTGAAAATAAACAAAATGTCCGTTTTTTATGTTTTTGAACTGAAAATGAACAGAAAGGAAGCGGTTGCATAGAAATTCAACAGAAAAGGAATATGCAGCCCTCATTAACAAACAGGGTTTTTATTGTGAAGAAAATAACAGATGGGGAAGGAAGAGACGTGCAAACAATAGTTCCTCTGGGAGCGTTCACCTGAACTCCTTCTTTGAGCTTCTACACCATCTGGGTTTCTGCTCAGCCTTCAGACGACATCCAGAACCTCCATGTCCAGAACAAACACTCCTCTGTCTTTTGTCCATGACTAAGCTGAGCATTCATCCGTAATCTATCTAATCCTACGGACAAAAGGTGAAGATAGCAGTCTTATCTGCTCCTCAAAATACCTTCAGACCAGTCGCTGAATGCAAACGCTGTTTTTTTTTTTTCTGTTTCTGCAGAACCTTGTTTCCCCGCTGAAGTTGAGCGTAGTTGTAGAAATAAGCTTTGTGAGGCAGCTTGTTGCCCAGCCCAGTGGAAACCAGTTGATGGATCGGGACAATCTGGTGATAAAGCTGTCGACCTGACATTGTTTGTTATTATGTGATTTTTATTATTATTATTAAATGAGATGACTATGAATCCTTCACTGTGTGCAGTCTCTAGACTGTAAAAAATGTCCAGTTTACCTAAAGTGAGCCCCCTGCTGAAGACACTGGATACTTGTATATATGTTTAGTTTGTCTCCGACGCATTTCTCTTTTCAGACTGTCGTCTCCATAGTTTGGAACTAGAAGCTCTCCTTCTTGCCTTTTTTTCCTATATGAATTTGATTACCTGATGTTGGGTTGTGATGTTGCCTAGAATGATTGTTTACAATTTTATTCCATTTATCTCTGGATATTCTGTAAATATTGTAATTCATTGTCTTTTTTAACTTGATAATAAAGTTATCAGATAACAGTTTGTTGTGTTCTTCTGCGTTTTGCTTTAGCAACCTTGAGCTAAACCACATCATGTGGTAGAAAGAGTACAGATGTGTAAATACTTGTACATTTGAAGACGATTTTAATTTAAATATGTATATGTGCTTGTAATTTTATTAACTTGTTCATGTTTGTGGATTTCTAAACAAATTAAACCCCAAATCATCTTCAATATATATTTTGGGAACCACATAACGTGCAATATTTTGGCATTAAGTGTTGGCATCAACCCTGATTGTCTGTTGGTAAAATATCCAGTTAGCCAATTAACTTTTTTTTTATGAAACCACAGCTAAAAGCCTTTAGCCTACACAAAATTGGATATATCATTGTCAAAATTATAGATTCTGAGCTATATATTTAGTCTCGCAAAAAGTGAGTGGAGGCACCTGGGCTGAATACAGAGTGGGAGCAGGTGAGAGTGGGCGTGGCCAGCTGACGCCGGGACCTATGGGCACCAGTGACCAGATATGGACAGGTCTAGTCCAACACAGGGACACTCCCACTCATGGACAGTTTAGTTACCAGTTAGCCTAGCATGTATGTTTTTGGTATGCACAGAGAAAACATGCAAACTCCACCTAGAAAGTCCTCTTGCTGGGATTCAAACTGGTGACCTTGCTGAGAGGCAGCAGCTTTACAAACTGAACCACAGTGCTGCCCTAAACCTCATCCTAAAACCCCCAAAAGTAAACAATATAAAATCAACATAGATCCAAACAGGAAGGCTCAGCTTTTAACTTCCTGATTGTTCCTGAGATGGACAGGTGACTTGTTAGAGGTAGAGAATGCAGAAAAACTGGTTTATACATTTGTCATGTCTAGACTGGACTGTTGCAATGGTTTATTATCTGGGTGTCCAACAACTTCTTTAAAAAAATCTTCAGTTAATTCAAAATGCTGCTGCCAGAGTCTTAACTGGAGTTAGTAGGAGAGAGCATATCTCCAGTTTTAGCTTCTCTCCATTGGCTCCCTGTCAAACCCAGAATTGAATTCAAAATCTTACTTCTAACCTACAAAGCTCTCAACAACCTAGCTCCATCTTATATTACAGATCTTATTGTTTCATATTTTCCTAACAGAGCACTTCGCTCTCAGACTGGAGGTTTACTCGTGGTCCCTAGAGTTTCCAAAAGCAGAATGGAAGTAAGATCTTTCATTTATCAGGCTCCTCTCTTGTGGAACCAACTTCCAGTTTCTGTCCATGAGGCTGACACATTGTCCAGTTTTAAGACTGGGATTAAGACTTTCCTTTTTGATCAATCCTATAACTAGTGTTGGCTTGTTAAACTGCCTTAAGCTTAGACTACTAGAGGACAAATTTACCTCATTTACTTAAATGAATTGTTAAAATTGAATAGTTTTCATTTGATACTATTTCTATATTAACATGTGATTCTTGACCTGCCATTGTGTATCTGTTCCTCTCAAACCCAGCTGGTCGAAGCAGATGGTCGCTTGTCCTGAGCCTGGTTCTGCTAAAGGTTTCTTCCTCATGAGGGAGTTTTTCCTTTCCACTGTCGCCTTCATGCTTGCTCAAGATGAGAATTCTGCAATGGAGTTAAACTCAAAGCAGTCTGCTCCTCAGATAAATAATGTTAAATTATGATTATTATGTATATAAATGATTCTGTTCAGTGTCCTGAGATGACTTCTGTTGTGACTTGGTGCTATAGACATTAAATAAACTGAACTGAATTGAATTGATTAGTCCAATTATTAGTGGAAAAGGCCCCAGCTCCTTGCAACCCTGAAAAAGATCACTCAAATAAAAGAAATGCATGAATTGATGGATTTGAACACAAGTGCTATTTTTCTTTCTAATGTAAAAAAATGAATAAGGGTCAGTGAAAGGTAAAAGCAATTTAACTGGCACATCTGTTCTGACCAGTGAACACTTCCTGGATCGTCGGCAGTATGAAGCTTCAGGTAGAGTGGTTGTTCTCTAACTCGAACTGTTCTGTGTCCTGACCCCTTCATATGTGCAAGTAACTTACACAAAAACACTTTGTAGTTCTAAGGTTTACCTCGCCAATAATACATTTATTGTGAAGGCTCTTCAACCACCCTGAGCGATGGGAAACAAAAAAGACTTCCTCTCACCGCTGAAGCAAGCTTTGTGCGATACAGATGGGTCGCCATTTGGTGCAGACTGTAACTGGATCATGGTTTCCTGAATGAGAATCAGTGACGATGAATCAACGTTCCAATTTGGTGATTGTGTTTTGCCAAATCAGCCATCCAGATTTTTTTCACTTAACTAGGGAAATATAAAGTTGCATCTGAGCATCACTGGTTTATGGGGTGCCATTTGTAAAGTTACACAGTCAAAAATTAACAGCAATATTTTGGTTTATTTAGCCTTTAATGAGAAAAAATGTTGTTTTTTTCAAAGTCATATTTTTATCATGTTGTTCATGCATTTATAAATGTCTTAGTTCCCAACTAAATATTTATTTTACAAGCTAAATATTTATTTTACAAATTAAATACTTAACTTGCATGTTAAATATTTAGTTAGTAAACTAAATTTAGTTGGTAAACTAAATATTTAAGTGTAAATTAAATATTTAATTTCCTAGCTCAGCACGGTGGCACAACTGGTAGAGCTGCTGCCTCTCAGCAAGCAGGTCCCTGGTTCAAATCCCAGTCCGGGAGCCTTTCTGGGCAGAGTTTTCATGTTCTCTCCATGCATGCGTGGGTTTTCTCCGGGTACTCCGGTTTCCTCCCACAGACCAACAACGTGCATTGGTTGCATTTGCTAACTAAATATTTAACTCTGATCTAAATATTTAACTTGCATGCTAAATATTTAGATCAGAGTTAAATATTTAGTCAGCAAATTAAATATTTGTTTTGGAAATTAAATGTTTAACTTATAAATTAAATGTTTAGTTTGGAAATTAAATATTTAGCTTGGACAATAAATATTTAATTTAGAAATTAAATGTTTAGTTTTGAAAATAAATATTTAGCTTGGAAATTAAATATTAAATTTACACCTAAATATTTATTTTACTAACAAAATATTTAACTTGCAAGTTAAGTATTTAGTTTGTAAACTAAATATTTATCTTGTAACTTAAATATTTAGTTGGGAACTATGACATTTATAAATGTTTGAACATGGTGCAAATATGAATAAAAAAAAACTATTTTTTCTTATGAAAGGCTAAATAAATCAAAATAGTGCTGTTAATTTTTGACTGTGTAAGAAACAGCACCCCATACTTGTTTGCTATATTAACAGCCTGGTTTAAGTGGGTGAATGTGAAGATATTTGATGGTAGATGTGAGCGTTTGCAAGTTCTCTTCCAGCACTTTAAAGCGATTATACACAGGGATATTTAAAGATGGACCTGTAGAGTGTGTTGTAGTGGTGTGTGTGTGGAATCCTGCACCTTGTTCACAGGAAATAGCAGTGGGATGAGAAGGCATCTGAGTGGCCCTCACTGTGAGTTACGCCCTTCCAGCTCTCTGGTTTCTCCCTGAACTCCCCTCCGCACCCTGCATGAGTCCTGCTGGCCCCAACCACAAATGCTGGTGTGTGCCTGTGCATGTTTTTGAGTGTCTAACACATACATATGAAATGCTGCAACGCTTTTAGCCTTCATTAAATCTGCTCGGCTTATCTACAACCAAGACTGGGACGTTGTGCAAAACGTGAGTAAAAACAATGATGTGCAAATTTCATTAATCCATTTCTATTTGCAATAGAACAACGTAAACATATCAGGTGTTGCTTTTAAGAACATGTACTGTTTTAATATCTTTACTACTTTTGATTGTGAATACAATAGGACTTTATGAGAGTTGCAAATCATTGCATTCTGTTTTTATTAAAAGTAAGGTCAAGTCGCTTGCTAGAATCGTCTTTTTTTTTAACTTAAATCCTAAATTTCACCTCCTCTGCAGTCCCTGTCCTGCCTGCCTTATAAGAGACTGAATCTTTATTTCACATGTCTAACATCATCTCTTAAAAATATCTCCAAGTCACCAGGGATCACACTGTAATCTCTGCAGCACACCACTTCAGAAGCAGACTAACGACCCCTGGAGACAGGAGCAAGAGGCACAGCCACAGTGAAGGAGGGGAGATGGAAAAGAGGACAGCACTGCTGCTGCTGAGTGGAGCAACACAAGGAATGCCTGATGAGTGTGCGCTTAGGCCAAGGCCAGAGAGGGCACTGCTCCTTATGTGATGACTGGATGGAAGGGGTGGACTGAGTGGAGTGACGGGACGTCGGGACGTGAGATGGACAAGAAGGACAAAGAGTGGTTGAAGGACAGAAAGAGAAGTGGAAGATAAAGATGGATATGTGCAGAAGAGGTGAAGAAAGGGCTTGAAGAAGAAACCTCAGTGAGCTCATAAGTATCACTCTTTGTGTTTAACAGTCGTGTTCGAGAAAAAGCCGAGCAGCATATCTATAGAAGGGACAGCAAACATCTGGCTGCTGAGTGCTGGATAGAAGATTGAACTTAAAAACTGTCAACTCTTTCTAAGCTCCTAGATGAATTCCTGAATGAGCTAAAGTTTGAGAAAAACTGAAGTTTTTTTCAAACTTTTAGGTAACAAGAATGTGTCTTGGAAAGTAAGATGTATGGGACTTAACGGGCTCATCTCCTGTTCTTAGATGATGTGGTTCTGTTGGCGTCTTCAGGCCAGGACCTTCAGCGTGCACTGGGACGGCTCGCAGCCGAGTGTGAAGCTGCTGGGATGAGAGTCAGATCCTCTAATTCGCATGTCAGCTGGGAAAAGGTGGGATGCTATAATTTGGGGGTAGGTTTATGCCTCAAGCAGAGAAGTCCAGGTACCTGGAAGCCTTGTTTAGTAAAGAGATTGTTGCTTTGGTATGTAGTCAAGGAGAAATACAGCAGTTGAGCCTAAAGACAAAATTCTCAATATATTTGTCCATCTGTTTCATCCCTCACCTATAGTCATGAGTTATAGATCATGACTGAAAAAAAAAACATGACAAGGAGTTAAATACCAGCAAATCCAGCAAGCAAACATCATAGTCTACTACATTATTAGTAAGAATCGATAATAAACACAGCTTAACATGCTTTTCCTCAAAAGTCATGATCTACAGATGTGAACATGTTTAAAGATTTGCAGGTAATAGAGCTAAATAAGAAATACATTTAGAACAGATTTAAATTAAAAAGAGATTGGTTAAAGTAACAAAAAACAAACTGTAATGACTCTTGATTGGACACCAAAGCTTATACAAGTTGAAAGTCTTTCAGAAAGTTGGCATGGCAGACAATACAGGGTTCCCAGATTTTGACTTTTCGATATAAAACTAAAATAAAAACATTGCCAAAACCATAAAAATGTGACATCTTTGTCAGCCATCCCGATTGCTGTAAAAAATGTTAATGAGTGTTGTTAAACTTTTTTTCATGCAAGAATTTAAATTATATAGAAGTATATCTTAATACTAAGATAACTAATAAAGAAAACCGACATAGCAGTGAATTTGTAGCTATTAATAACTGTGGCTGTAATTTATTTATGAGTAATTATAAGTAATATTTTGATTTTTTTTAAAGTTACTATGATTATGTCTATTTTTATTTTATTGCAGTTTTAAAACCAAGTATTTTAGTTGCAATTAAGTGTTTGTGTCAGAGCTGACTTTTGATTAAAAATAAATAAAGCCAGACGCAATAGAAACAGCAGGGGGCGCTGTTCGTGCTCTCGGCGCTTGGGGGCGCAGTTGTCTAAATATTAACCGTAGAAGAAGAAAAACGAAAAGTCATGGCAGCTGACAGTTTGTAATGAGCCAACAAAAAAACAGTGAAGACTCTTCGAAGTTGAATTTACAAGGTTGAAACCAGGCCAGGGAGGGAAACTCAGCCGACAACATGTTGATAACTTTGAAGACTTTACAGCAGCAGACGTTCAAAGTTGACATCGATGAAGAAGAGACGGTGAGAGTTATAAATATTTCGAGCAGGGGGTGTGGGAGTTGGATATGTCCTGGAAACGACTGGCTTTAGTTTTGGGGAAGTGTATGTAAATACGAAATGATAACTTAGTTAAAACCGTCTTCAAGTTTATCGAGTCTTGTTTCTAATGCTCAGCTTTAAACAGGTTAATAAATTGGGGACAAATTGCACAGATCTGTGAGTTGTTGTGTCAGCAGTTAGCCTTAGCCCGCGTAATTAATGCTCCAGATGTGGTTGGACATATTTTACCCATAACTTTTACTTTCGTTAAGCTACCAAAGCGCTATATTTGCTGCTTTTTTTTTGCTGTAGATTAGGTTAATCCACTTAAAAAACAAAGCCTGGTTTTATGTTCATAATAGATATAAATAAATTAAACATCAGTTTGTTTTTTATTTTGTTGTGGTTTTATGGTCCTGGTAGCACTTAATGCACACTTTGGACTCTTTGTATTTGCTGTAACCAGGCAGGATAGGCTTAGAACAGTAGTGTCAGTAAATGTGATTGATTTTTGTTTTGTCTTTGTTTTCCAGGTGACATCATTAAAAGAGAAGATTGAACAGGAGAAGGGAAAAGAGCATTTTCCATTTGCTGGGCAGAAACTGATATATGCCGGTATGATGCTTTGTAAAAACTCATTTCAATCTGTTCTTTTAGTTTTTTAATTCAGTCACTTTCTTCATTTACAGGTTTTCAAACCACTCAATAATACATAGAAGTTAATTATTTCCACGTCACAGCTCTCCTGAAGGAGACTCGCAGGTTTTCTCTCTGTTGGAATCTCTTCAGTAAAGAGTTTGATCAGCAACTGGGGGTTTTAGGTTGCTTTTAATGTATTAATTTATTATTTTTTTTAACAAATATTGCCTCGTTTGGCCATTAAAATGTCCTACTTCTTTGGTTATATTTTGCATTTTTTATTTATTTAAAGCAGCTAAAAAGATACATGTTTACACCTGAAAAAACAAAACATAATTCAGATGGGATCTGGACAGTAACCTTCTCACTGGATACAAAACCGTCTCAGTGGAGCCTTCTATGAACTCATCTGCTGAAACATCTTGGTGTGATGTTTTTTTTTTTTTTTTTTACCTACTCTTAGATTTGTTTTGCTCAGTTAAGACAAGTTTTTGCAGCGACGACTTCTCAGTTAAAATCTGCATTACACTAGATCAGCTTGAGACAGTAATTTGTGTTTTTTACATCTCTCTGGTAATTGATATTTATTAATGTATATGTTGGTCTCAGTCGGTCAACATTTATGTAAGCGGCTAACAGCTGTACAAACTGCTACAGCTTTAAAGAGCGTTACACCAGTTCTGTCCTCGTTTAATAGTTTTCCTGTTGATGCCAGGATGCAGTTTAGATGTTACTTGTTTTAAAAGTCTTAATGGCATCAAACACCAAATTATCTGTCTGAACTTCTGCACTGTGACACTACAGAGCTCTAAGATCCATAAACCAGCCAAACCAGCTCGTTCTGAACACTCCCAAATCCAGACTTGACTTTTGCAGTGGTGTCCCCACTCTGTGGACCAGTTTACATTTAAATGTTAGAGCTGCTCAGACCAGCAGAGATTTTACATCCTTGATAAAAACCCATTTTTAGTCCTGGTTGAGCAGGGCATCCTGATTTTTTTTTTTTAATTGATTTTATTGTGCAAGCTCATCTTAAGTTCTTGTATTATGTGTTATTATATTTGAGATAAACTGCGTTGCTTTTATTTTTACACTTTGGTCAACAAAGGTTGTTTTCAAATCAGCTAAAGGAATAAACTTTAACTTTGTCCTTTGTAGAAAATCATCTACATCTGTAGTATTTCAGAGTTGAGGGTTTTGCTTGACCAGCCAAATCGTTCTCAGATGTTCATCAAGTCAGCAAACTTTTATTTACTGGTATTACTTGCTTCACTTTGTTCCTTTACTCCCTTCATGCTGCCATGGTTGATAAAGTTGCAAGCTGTGGCTTCTTTCTCTGTTTCTTCACAGGTAAAGTCCTCCATGATGACACGCCCCTTAAAGAATACAAAATTGATGAGAAGAACTTTGTGGTCGTCATGGTGACAAAGGTTTAGGAACCAGAGACAAACTTTCTGTTTTTTTTTTTTTCCCATTTCACAGAAAGAGCATGATCACTTTAAGACTTTGAGGCTGAGCTAAGAATGCTTTTTATCAACTGAATGTTGTTTTGCAGCCTAAAACGACCTCAGTCGCCTCTCAGACGTCATCTGCTGCTTCAGCTCCCAGCTCTGCAGCACCTCCTGCAGCACCTCCTGCAGCACCTCCTGCTTCGTCGTCCAGCTCCGACAAACCGGCAGAGCAGCCTTCTCCTGACGACAAACCAGAGGAGAAGCAGCCTTCCACAGCTGAACCACCAGCTGAACCATCATCCACCCCTGTCGGGTAAAGCTGGGTGGATGTTTATTTGACATTTATCTACTGTACTTGCTGCCGTACATGTTGCACCGTCGTACAAGTTATTTATAGTCATAGAAGTCCAAAAATGTCTTAATAAAATGGAAAAACATAAATAAGTCACTTGGTCGTATAAGTCGCATCTATTATGCGTCACCGCTGACCACCCGGAAAACGTAGGCTGGTGTTGTGCCCAAAATCGATTGGCTGCTAAATGGCGGCCACGGGAGCATGCACGGGAGGCTTTAACAAGAATTTAAGAAGATGAACACTTAAAAACAAGTATTTGTTTGATCGACATTATTGTAAAGTTGTGTCTCAGTTGATCTTTTCCTTAATAAAGGCACTTTAATGGTCAAATCAGCTGCATTTCACTTGGGTGGCGCAGCAAAATTAATAGCCACTTTTCCCTATTAATGAGACACTTGGCTTGCCATATTAGTCGAGGGCCCTCTAGTGGCTGAAAATGGTAGTGTTCATTATTTTCAATATCAGAATGAATGAAATTGTCAGATCTCAGCCAAAATTGTGTTATAAATATGGGGAAACATGTTCCATTCGTTTATTCGGTGTATAAGTCACAAGACTTGCAAATTTATGAAAAATGGTGCGACTTTTACGGTGAAACATGGTCATTAAAATAGCACATGACTCACACAAGGTTGTTTTTTTTTTTTTGTTTTTTTTCTTGTAGAAGCTCTGAAGCTTCCACAAGCACAAACTTGATCAATGAAGCGGTTTCAACTCTCGGTAAGAGTCTCTATTAGAGTACAGACGTTGAAGCAAAACCCGACTCTAGTTGCTCTTCTGACCTGCACTTGTTGTGTTTGTGTGTGTTTCTTTAGTGACGGGCTCGTTGTACGACGCCATGGTGAACGAGATGATGCTGATGGGCTACGAGAGGGAGCAAGTGGTGGCTGCTCTGAGAGCGAGCTATAACAACCCAGACAGGGCTATGGAGTACCTGCTCTCAGTAAGAAGAACTTTATTACTATTCATTTTTGTTCTTTTATTCCTAAAGTACTGATTCACCTCAGATTTGAAACGGAAATGTTCAGATCTTTTATGTTTAAGATGTACAGTTTTCCACGCCAACACTGCGAGCTGTGACTCCTCCCACAGGGCATCCCAAGCAGAGATCAGGGTCCTACAACAGGCTCGGATGCAGCTGCGCCTCCAACCAGCGAAGCTCCTGCTGCACCTGCTGTTAGTGCTCCTGCCAACACTGGCGCCTCCCCAACTGCTGCAGGAGGAGGTGAAAGCACTTTCCTGTTCCACACATTACAGTAACCTTCATTATAAGCTGCGTCTGTAATTATCCTTCTTGTGCTGTGGTTTCTAGGAATTTTGGTTTCAGAAAATCCCTTGAGCTTCCTCAGAAATCAGCCTCAGTTCCAAGTCATGCGACAGCTGATCCAGCAGAATGCGTCCTTGCTTCCGGCCTTGCTGCAGGAGCTTGGCAGGGAGAACCCAGAGCTGCTGCAGGTGAAGCGTGTTAGAAATGACAAGAAATATTGAATTTAGATCATTTACTCACTTGAGTTATTCACTTTTTTCACTCATTTGCCAGTTATAATCAAAAATATCACAGTTGCGTGTTTTCCTGTTGTGCAGCCCTGCAGATGGTTGTAACTGATACCGTAGTGCACAACTTCCAAATAAATAACAGATATCAAATTGGGAAAGATGCATAAAAACCAAGTCTGCCCTATAATTCAACAACTTGTAGAATCGTATTCTTTACAGCATCGCTTCAGTTCGGTGAGGGCTGCAGGCATTTGTATATCCACCGCATTTTAAACAGGCTGCAGTCTGGACTTTGATTTGAGCGTTGCAGTAATTTTATTTATTTATTTTAACCATTCTGTTGTAGATTGGCTGCTGTGTTTTGGATCACTGTCCTGTTGCATCATGGTCCAGCTTTGTCCAGTCTTTAGCTCTTAAACAGATTTGACTCAAGAATGCTTTGGCATACAGAGGAGCTGCACCTGTGGCTTCAGACAAAAAGCGTCACCTCCCCACTAGGTGTTTGTGCCGATATGCTGTGCTTGGTTTGCTCCAAACATGGCCCTGTGCATTATGGGTAAACACCTCTATTCTGGTCTCCTCTGTCCAAAGAACATTGTTCCAGAAGTCTTAAGTTGTTCTACGGTGTTTTTTCAAAAAGAAGAGGCACCCCCTCCAAACAAGCCGTGTCTGTTCAGCCATTTTCTAAATGCTCTGTCATGAACTTTAACCTGATAACTGAGGCCTGCACAGGCTGAGGTGGCGTTCTTGTTTTTTGTAATTTTCTCGGAGCATTGCACAGTCTGACCTTGGGGTGAATTTGCTGAGACATCCGCTGGTACCTGTCTTTAATGTTTAGTTTTGATTTAAATTGCGTCTTCATAATTTGGCAAATTCATGCAGCTACAACACTTCAAATTTTGCTATCCTTTTTAATTTTGTTTGCTAAAAAGCTAATCTGATATTTTTGTTGCTGCATTGCACAATAATCTGATTGTTTAAGAAGATTATGAACGTTTGCATTGTTGTCGTCGGTTCTCGTTCGCACCTTGCATTTTGGTTTCGTGACTTTCCTTTCTTTGCTATCAACCACCGCAGGAGATCAGCAATCACCAAGATCATTTCATCCAGATGCTGAATGAGCCCAGTCCAGATCCAGTGCCAGGAGGTGGAGGGGTTGAGGCGAGAGGAGCAGGAAGGGTAGGAGGGGATGCCACCAGTGGGAGTCACATGAGCTACATTCAGGTCACGCCACAGGAGAAAGAAGCAATAGAGAGGGTGAGGAGGCGGCTTAGACTGCAATTTACTTTAAATTCATATTCATTGTTGTTTTTCATAAATACTCCAACTATAGACGGTAATAAAAAGTGCTTGAGTGGTTAATAAGTTTATTTTCTTTCATTTCAGCTAAAAGCCCTAGGGTTTCCAGAGGGACTTGTGATCCAAGCCTACTTCGCTTGTGAGAAGAACGAGAACCTGGCTGCCAACTTCCTTTTACAACAGAACTTTGACGACGAATGAAGGAGCCATTCTGATTGTCCCCCCCCCCCCCCTTCTTGTTTACTTTTTGGTTTCGGATGTTCATTCTAAATGTAAAACAAGCCTTTTAATTTCCAGCACATATTTTATTCACCACTTCCAAATTCACCTTTCGTGGCAACACTGGATGATTATCAGGTGGTGGCTGTTGTGCACAAACAAGTTGTTTGTAAACAAGTTCAAATGAAGAAACAATAAAAGTTCAATCGTTTTGCATCAAAGTACGTCTGTCCACACTCATTTAAATTATTTCTGAGTCAGACTAACATGATTTTTTTTAATAGTACAGATAAATTGTATGTTTTTATTAGAAGGAAGCTATAATCAAGGAAAATCTTAGAGCTTATGACCATATTTATTAGAAATTTTAGAATGAGAATATAATTGAAGAAAACAAGTTACATTTAAAGCAACAAATTTGCATTAAACAGTTTTTTCTGTGTGAAATGTCAAGTTTAAACATTACTTTTCGTTGCCTCAAACAGCTTTAATTTTTTAATCAGTCCCTGTTAAATAACCCTAACTTTGTATTTTAGTGTCTGCAGACTACACATTAACAGCCTCGCATCAGGCTTGTTTGTTGTGGATGATTAACTAGAAAAGATAAAAGATTTTCTTTAGTTTTATTTTCAGGCATAGACAGATCAGGGTGTTGTACCTGAGTCCACCAGCAGAGGGCGACAGAGACCACAGCTTCTAAACCTGTCGGTGACGTCTCAACAGGTGGACACACAAGTACCTGTATTTTCATTACTTTGAAAGTGATTCTAAGGCTTCATAATTTAACTGTATTGTACAGCTTCAAATCAGTAAATATATTAACCTTTTAAAAAGTACGGCCAAAATACTTTTAATGGATGCAATCAAGAGTGAAATTGGTGCGGCGCAAACATTTAAAAGCACTTTAAGGACAGTTTTCAATCATTTTATTTATTTAAACCATTTTTTTTTCCAAAGGTAATAGTTGGTATTGTTTAGAAAATGTAAATACAATTACAAAGCAGTGTTTGCCAAATCATTTAAACCTAATATTTAAACAAGTCCTGCTCTGAGATGAATGTTTGGAGAACAATATTTGTTAAGAGAAAAACTAAATGAAATGTTCGTAGTGAAGCTTGAGTTTCCCACGCTATCACAGAAGCTGCTTTTCAAACAGTACTGATAAAAAATTAACACAAAAGTCATTTGTTTTAAGAAAAACACAATTTTGACTGAATGAGTTGACTTTAAGACGCATTTTTACCTTCGTGTTCAAAGAGTTTGTGGCTAATTCATTTAGTTTGATAAAGTTGTAACTTGTTACAGTCATAGTAAACGTTTATCTAGTTTTATTTTTAGAAATTTATTGCTTTAACATGTCAACTGCTCATCAGCTTTGTTAGAAGTTTCCGCAACTCTCTGAATTATTTTACATTTCTTGGATCAACAAGCTGTTTTTAATTTTTACACCAAAACAACAGATTCTATAAATTGTTGAATCATTTGCCCAAACAGTGTCTTACAGAGTGGTGATTTCTTATCCTTAATAAATTTGTCTTTTGTGGGATGTTACAAACTAGTTGCTAATCAAACAAGTTTAAAACAGTTTTACTGATTCCCAGTTCTGATCCCTGAGGAACACCATCCTGCAAGTTTTAGTTGCTCCTCTGCTCCAATACACTTGATTTTGAAGGAAAGGTGATTAACAGGCTTCTGCTGAACTTAAGGAAGTAATTAAACCACCAAATCAGGTGTGTTGGAACAGAGAAACAACTAAAACATACAGGATGGTGTTCCTCAAGGACCAGAGTTGGGAACCCCTGAATTTGTCTTTCACAACTCTCCTATTTGTGTCCTCTAACTCAACGTTTGAGATGTAAAATATCTTTGTGTACATTCTAACATATGTAGAGTCCCCATGTTTTAGGTAATTTAAGCATATTTCTGTGTTGATGTGTTTGAGCTCTGCTGCATGCTAACTTTGCCTCCTGTTGAAGCTGAAGTGAAAGCATCGGGAAAGAACACAAAAAACTGAGCATCAACTGAGTCACTTCAGCACTCGCTCTCAGTCAGAAGCTGTGAGCTGAATTTAATGTGAACGCTACAGTATTTTCAGAGAAATGCAACATTTAAGCATCTGGGTAGAGTTACGCAGCGAGAGATACATGATGATGCTAATTATACAGCAGATTTCTGTCAAGACATTGTGCTGTCGTAGCATCATTGTGCGTATTTTTATTCATATTGTCTTGTGCACATTAGGGCAGTCAGATCTGGTGTCACCCTTGAAAGTCGGCCAGTAACTTCGTTGTTCTCCCCTTTCTTCCCTCTGACAGGTGGAAAGAGAAACCCGCGGAAACAGGACATTGTCGGGGTGAATTTTCTTTTGAAAATCTCTTTTTAAGGACATCTTTGTGCTCGTTTGCCCTGCGGCTGTGTCACCATCATCATTGTGCGTGATGTGACCGCTAGCTACTGCTGCCATTTAAATGAGCTCTACTGTTACTGTAAATAATGAGGAAACCTCAGCTTTACATGCTTTTTTTTATACATGTTTTCCGAGGAGCATAAAGAGAGCACTTGTTGTGTGACTGCAGATTTAGCATTAACACTATTTTTCTTCTTTTTTTTTTTTACCTTTTTTGCAATCCACCACTACTTTTGTGTACTTTTTGATATTTTAGCCACATATATCATATTCACCTTATTCACAGGGGTGCTAAAACTTTAGGGTTTGCAACTTTTCTATATATTTTTTAAGATTTAACTTTATTTACAGATATTTCCCCTTATAAATGCATTAAACTCTTAAATTCCTTCAATAAAATTGTTCTCTTTAGCTACTGTTCTACTGCTTGTAGCTTTCAGCTAGCCTTTTGCTACTTGTAGCTACTTCTTATGGCTTTTCCCTCTTAAGGGGTCACCACAGCATGACCTTCAATCACTCCACTACTTATTACTTAAAGCCACTGTTCTGCTAATTTTTGCTACAACTTTTAGCTTTTAGCTGTTTGCCACCTCGGCTTTTAGCTAGTCTTTTGAAATTCTGAGCTGGCCTTTTTTTATGTTCAGCTTGCCTTTTGCTACTTCTTTAGCTTATTTTGGTGCATTTGACTTTTAGCTAGTGCCGTTTCTTTTAGCTTTGACAATTAGCTTCTACTGCTGCCTTTTCACATAAAAAAAAATCATTTTTTTGTTATTTCAAATACATTTTATTTCATTATACAGTGTAATACAAAACAATACCAAAACATTTTTATTTACAAATGTACAAAAGTCAACATTATATTACATATTTTGGCTATAAACAAACAAAATATCTTTGTTCAGAGTTACTCATTCAATACAAAAATATGAATGTTTCATATAAATTATTGCACTTTGCAGCTGCAGTGCATTCAAAGATTGCCATCGCCATAAAAAAAAAGTGTTCACCTGAAGATCGATTGTGGAAGAGTCGTTTCACCAGTAACTTTATGGCACTTTTTCATTTTTTCACCTTTGTTTTAACCATGTTTCCTAACCTTTGGTACCTTTTTATTGCTTTAGTTACTGAGCACCATTCTGTATAAATTAACGCTGTACCTGAAAAAGATGGCGTTGCAGGTGAAACGTGAGTATAAATATAATCAATACAGTATTTTGAACAGTGTAAGATGGCGTGTTGCTGGTAAGAAGGCCTCTGGAGATGTTTTGTCTGTTGTTCCTGGTTTCCCTGACATTTCCAGTTAAAAAAAAAAAGAAGCTGCTGGCACCTGGTCCTCCAAGCTTTGTCGGTTAAATAAGACAAATTCCAGTTTTGGTCCCTTTTTTCTATATATAAGTTTTACAACCCTGGCTGAGGTTGTGTTGAGTCTTGCACAGTCAGTTTTAGAGAAATGCTCTTTTCGCCATGAACACCACAGCTTGTCTTGCTGCTTGACGCCAGCTTGAAGGCAACTTTTAAAACGTGTTGAGGAGTTTGTTCAGGATTCCATAAAAACACTTATATACTTTTTTTTTTATTTCCTTGGAGCCTTCAGCTTTAGTCATTTTGTCCTTTTCCATCAAAGTCTCATAAATGTCTCTTCATGTGGAGAGCAAGGTGGTCCGATCTGGAAAAGGCCCGGTCACATTTCTGACACTGGAACGGCCGATGACCCGTGTGCTTCCTGTAGTGGCGAGTGAGCTCATCCGAACGTGCAAACTTCCAGCCGCAGCCCTCCCAGTCGCAGTGGTAAGGCTTCTCCCCTTTGATAAAAACAAAACAATGCGCACGGCGCAGTTAGTATAGTTAAAGTAACCCCTGCTTCCCCACCTCCAAGAGAAAAGAAGTCCATCCTGTCCTGCAGCTCGTGTGCAAAAGAGGCCGAAGCAATCAGCCTGTAGGGTTTGTGTTTGAGCAGGGATCAGTATCAACCTGTTTTACTGCACCTGCCAAACTGTTGCCCTGTACTCCATCCCCCACCCATCCAACCTCCATTATGAGTCAATAATGCAACGTGTTTGCTCAGAATGTGCAACTCATGAGGCCGTTTGTGTTTATTGACAGTGACAACACAAGGACGAACAGCTTTCGGAAACAAAACGACCGGCGCTGCAGTCTACAAGTCACCGGAGACGACGAACAGAAACACTGTTTAAAAAAAAAAAAAAGAAGCCGCGTACCTGTGTGTGTGCGGTGATGTGCTTTCAGGTGGGAGCTCTTCGTGTACGTTTTCCCACAGCCTACGTAGTCGCACGTGTGCGTCGCCACCCTTTTCCTCGGCCAGGAGCGCCTGCCGCGCTTGGGCTTGGGCTCCTCTGGCAGGCAGTCCCCGCTGGAAATCATGAGGGCCTCTGCGGAGAGAAAAACACCATCAACACCATCACCAATGTGCTTTTACCACATTAAAGACCAATTCAAATGTTGCATTATGGAAGTTATACATACAGAACATTTAATTTGTTAATGTTTTTTTTTTAATCACTGACTCCAGCATTGCCAGAACTATAAAGCCTGTTTGTAGCACACTTATTAAAAACATCTTAAAGTAGAGCAAAGACAGTTTACATATTTTATTAACAAAATATATCTCTGTGGTCATGTTTCATTTCTAGTTTAGGTCTTTGGAACTGTTAGTCTTTTCCGATGTCGACCCATACATTTAATATTAAAAGTAATCTTTGGGATTTTATACTTTTAAAGATTATACAGAAGTAGGAAAAATAGTGATAAATAAAGTGAGAATGACCTGGGAACTGCATGGACGATGTCTGAGGGTAGGAGGGGTAGCCCTGATTGGCGCCATGGTGGTAACCCTGTGGAGGTAGTGGGATCTGAGCGAGGGGATTGCCCAGTTGGTGCTCCCGGCTGAGAGGATAGTCCGGGGAGAGCGACGAGGATGAGGACAGCCTGCTGCTCGTCATGGACCGTCCCCCTGGGAACCCGTGTAGATCCAAGTGGCTGGGACGTTGCTGCTGCTGCTGCTGGCTTCCTCGGCCTTGTGAGTTTACCCCAGCCAGGTGGAGGTCCATGGGCTGCGAGATGGTGCAGTTACTGGGGTTCTCCTGCTTTATCCTGTGGCAAGCGAAGGACGGTGAAACACGGGACGGCGCCGAGTCCGACGCGGCGCCGACACAGGCCTTGCTGTATTCTCCCATGTCCAGTGTTGTCTTGACCACGAACTTGCCATGGAGGCTGGTGGGCTGAAGGTATGCAGGGTCCAACTCCGGCCTCATGAGCTCTGCCACAAAGCCCCCAGAGGGTGAGACGTCGCTGATGTCTGGGATGGTATAGAGCAGCTCACTGGCAGCGTCTTGAGGGGAGGGAAGTTGGTAAGAAGATGTGAAGGAAACGGGGGAGGAAGACATGGCCTGAGAAGAGCCGCACGCCATGGCGTCTTCCTGCTGTTGCTGCTGCAGCTGCTGCTGCAGGATAGAGTTGGACAGAATAAAGTCGTAGTCTAAGTCCAGGTCTGGCTCCGTGTCCTTCTTGGACATGCTGGTGCTCGTTATGCTGGTGGCAGTGGGGTGCTCTTGATCCGAGCAGAGGCTTCCTGCTGGCACACTGGATCTCTTAAGATGGGACAGCTCTTCCTTCCATTTCTAGAAGGACGTAAACAAAAAGGTATAAATCACCGGTTTATGTCCAAAAAAACCACATACATGTTTCTTCTCTTCTACTTTGGAAAAGGGAAAACAAAGGAGCAGCTCAGCTAAACTTACTCACGTGCAGAAAAGTTTCTTGAAACACTTGCAAACTGAGCGCTACAGATAAAGTAAGAAGTTGTCTCCGCCAAAACATGCAGAATCCAACAAAAATGCAACGCTAATCAGATTTGGCATGCGCTTTCTGTCTGCTTTAATGAAGTATCCCTGAAGACCTGCTGGCTGGCTGAACCGGTGCACGCCCCGGCAGCAGCAGGAGCAGAACCTAGTGTCAAGCTGTGACTGCAATAATACACTGAGAGCTTCAGTGGGAAACAAACGGCCTCTAAATAGACTCCATGTTAACAGATTCTTTGATGCCCACGGCTGCAGGAAGTGACCACAGACTACTCACTGGAAAGCCACTTCCTATGGGTCTGCTCCTGTCAGTGAGGTCGCTGGTGAACGTGGAAATAGATGGGAGAAGAGTTCCACATGCCATCTCGACTTCATTTGGAGGCTGCCTGGAAGGACACAAGAAAAATGATTAAAAACCAGAATGATCCAGGAGAGGATAATCCACTGTACAAGTTTCACCTCATCAGTTGGAACACGAGTCCGTTCAGCTGCAGTGCCTTTTCTTCTCAGTGAAATAAATCCCTTCCTTCTCCGTGCTTTAAAAGTTTGTGCTCCACTCTGCTTCTTCCAGCATGCGCCAGTTAATAATTATATGAAATAATACAAAACAGCCAGTTTGACTGGGGCTTTTAACGCTCTGGATGGGGGGGGAGACAGAGAGGCGACGAACAGGGGAATCCCTCCCGCCTGTTGCCGTGTTGGGACCCGGCGGCAGTCTGAGCTGAGTGAGGAAACCGCGTGAGAGGTATCCTTAAATCACAGGGAAACGCCTTCTGTTGCCTAGCAACGCACACAGGAAAACATTAGTGCGAGAAGGAGGAGGAGAAAGAGGAGGAGAAAAGGGAGGAGTCTAAAGGGGGGAGGCAAAGAGAGGGATTGTGTTTGTATTCATAGCAACAGCACCTTCTGCTTTTATTCATGTAAATTGTTCTTGAATGACTTTTTAATTGACACAGAGCGACTGGCACAGTTAGTTTAAATACTTTACTCAACATGACGACTGCAGTTCAACCTGTGGGGCTGCACCTGCAGGCAGGGCCGGCCCCAGGCTGCATGGGGCCCAGAGCAGAACTTCACTTTGGGGGGTGTGTTAAATAGTTAATAGAGTTTAGCAGTCACAAAAATGCCCCTAAACTCTGTCAGTTTTACAGATTTGGAGCTGAGCGTCGTCCCCAACACTTATTATGGAGCACTGTACGTTGTGCAAGACGTTTGTTTGAAACACGTCAATGTGCATGTGCACTCTCTGGTGGTCTGGGGGCCCTAAGCAGCAGCTTGGTTCACAATACCTGTGGGCACATCATCAGGCCAGGACTCTGTGGGCTACACTCATCTGCAGGTCAGAGGTCACTCTGTCAAGGATGAAGATGTTCACGTCCTTGATAGAGAGGAGCGATGGCTTGAGGGAAGCCATCTTTGTGAAGAGAACCTGTCCATCGTTAAACGGGGCGGAGGCCTCCATGTTCAACTGACCCCATCTTATAATGCTGTTATTGCAAGTATCACTCAGACCCCTGTGAATAGCAAGCGGCCATCAGGGCGCTGACAATCAATTGTTAGTTTGATGGTCCTGAATTTGCATGTGAACAACTAGTTTTGGCTGTCAGCCAACTGGTTGATCCACTATGAGAAGGTGCTGAAGACAGTTGCAGCTCCTCAGACTGAAGGGGTCTTTGGCATGAACAAGAAGAATCCGTCCAGAAGACCTGACTCAACCTTGTTAGACCCACAAGGTTCTCACAAAACATGATGATAGCTATTGTTTGATACAGATGCCACAATCTGAGGAATTTTGAGGGTACGACACAAATCATTAGGGGAACACATTATATGAAATATTAAAGCAGAATAGAACATCAATAAGCTTCTATTATAAAAAATATCTTGACTGGAAGAGCTGGAGTTTTATTTAACGCAAAGCTTTTAAAATTGTGAGTCTTCTGTGAGTGCATATATGTATGTACTGTATATTCATTGTGACATGACATGCTGTCTTTATGATAGATGTTAATGTTTCTGTCTGTGGAAACATCACTGCTCTCACTCTACTGGAGTATCTTCCAACTCTGATCCTTCATACTCGATCCTGTTTGTGTTGTTCAGTCGAAGAGAGGAGGGTGTTTGGTTTGAGACCCCACGTGCTGCATGTGCTTCTTGCAGATGACACAGTTCTCTTGGTGCCTTCAAGCCTTGACCCTCAGTGTGAACTGGACTTGTTCTCAGTCAGGTGTGAAGTGTTCGAGACAAGAGTCAGCTGACTCTAAATCAGGGACCATGGTTCTTGGCTGAAACGAGCAAAATGCTTTCTGCAGGTTGGTGTTGAATCTGCCTCGCGTGGAGGAGTTCGAGTTATTCAGTGGCTCTTTCACGAGTGACAGAGGAAAAGACGGACATGTGGACTGGCTGTAACGAGGGCATTGCTCCAGTCTGACATGGTGAAGAATGATCTGAGCCAAAAAGCAATGCTCTTGATCTACATCTGGGTTCCAAACTTCGTCTATGGTCAGGAGGTACTAAAAGAACAAGAATCCAGGTACAAAGTACAAATGAGCTCCTTCTGGGTGTCTGAACTCATTCTTAGAAACGAGCTGAGAAGTTTCACCAACCGGGGGAGCATGGAGTAGCGCTTAAAGCGTCTTATGCATAGAAACGAGTCAGGTGAGATGGTTTGTGCACCTGGTTAGAATGTCACCTGGTCACCTCTGCTGGTTTTGCCTCAGAGAAGACCTCAGGGGAGAAGATCACTGTTTTGAAATCAAGTGAACTCAGTATTTTGATTCATTGACAACCCTTCGGCGGTGCGCTGTCACACAGGATCAAAACACTTCTTCAAGAATACAAGTATTTTATTACAAACTAAATGTAATGACGTTAAATTAATCATTATTGGAAAAAACTACTTTGATAAATGGGATCTAGTCTTCTTTATACTATATCTCATTCAAAGCCAAACGTCTTAGACATGATCAGTCTTAGTTTGTGTATGACTGAACAATTATACCAATGTTTTAAAACACATAAAATACACACGTTAACACACATGCTCTGTTTGTTTAAGGAAAAAGGTTTTTATCTCACCTGTCTTGAGCTGAGGTCTTGTTCTGTTTGCGCACAGTTTGAGAGTGAACACAAGCCCCGCTGTCCAATATAATTAGACACTTTGACTCGAGAGTTTACTGCGAGAGCAAACAAAACGCTCGCCCGCTCATCCTGCTGCATCAGGATGTCGTCTGTTGGGCATGTCAACAAACGCTCCGTCATTCCAACCGGACACGTCCGCCGCAAACGTCTGCGAAGTCTAAAGCTGCAGTGAGACTTTTGAGCCTTAAAGTCAGCAAATATAGCCTGCGGGGGAACAAAATGGTAAAAAGACTCTGTCAATAGGTTGTGCATCCTGTTGGGCTACTCGTGTTTATTGTTTGACATGCAGCATTATGCGGACACAATGGATTCAGAGCATTTTAGACTACCTGAAATGTTTAAGCCGACTTCGGTAGATATGTGTCTTCTGCTTCCTAGAGCAGGCACCAAGACTTGGCTATGTGATTACAGCTATGTTCTTTACGATGGGACATAATGGTTTCGAAAGGGATCCTCAAAACAAAGGCCTGATTTTGACAGTTGAGGGGCTGCGCTTTGGAATAACGACAGACAGCGGATAAAGGCGGAGAAGACGACACCGCTGGGTGCCGTTGTCTCTTCCTGATACAATGAAGTGGTGACAATTTTAGTAACTCGCACCAAATGTACGAAATATGTTACCGCGTCGCTTAAAGTATCAAGGAGCAATCCGTGATAACGCAGGCGTTCTAGTAAAAGCTGTGAGGTCAGAATCGGACGTGGCGAGGTTGAGGAAACCGAACGAGCGAGGGGAGGTGTACTTTAAGCGTCCTGAGGTTAGTGTTTTAGTGCCTTTGAGCAGCAGGTGAGCTCAGGTGTTTTACTTGGCTGAGCTGAAGCCGCGTTAAAATTAAAAAAATTAAAAAGCTCCACAGTTTGAGAAAACTTGTAAAACCGTGAATGCCGGACAAATGATCTGCACACCACTTCAGGTTTTTACTTTTCCCTTATTGTTTCCCCTGCTGTTCCTCAGTCCCCCCCCCCCCCCCCACTGGAAGCCATCCAAGTAAATATGAGCATCAGGAGATCATGACTCCAGATATTGAGGTTTTTTGGAGCTCTCTTCCAGATGCTGTTTGGTAATTAAAAAATAGCTTTCATTCTTCTCTTAATTTGTGAAAGTTGCTGAACCTCCTACGTTCTTAGCCTCACTTTAGCTGTTTTACGTTTATGCGTGTGTGCGGAAACCCTTAAGTCACCCAGTTAAGATCCTTGAACAGAACTGGCAATGATGGGACATCCAAGTAAGTTATTTCCTCGGTTTCTACAGTTTGTGACACTCGAGGAGGAAAAACCCATAAAATGTGCAGGAATGTGGAGAGAAAAGCGGAGGACGATATCGGTTGACTGAAAAATAAGCTGAAGAATTAATAGATTGCCAAAGTGGAAAGAGATTTATGTTCAGTGATTTGGCAGTAATCAGAATCAAAACATCAGCTCCAAACATTTGTTCTTTTTTTTTTTTTGTTATGAAAGTACTTATTAAAACCAAAAATGTTCAGCCGATTCACGGCACAAGAAGTTTATAGCTTCATTATTTCCTGCCACCATAAAAAGTGGAATTGCTCTGTTTTCTAGTCCGTCTGTTAGCAAAATATCTCATGCACAACTGGACAGATTCTAATGAAACTCTCAGAGAATAATTATTGGATATATATATCTATAAATTGTTAATGTTTGAGTATGCCTGATTTAAGGAGGTTGTGAAAACTAACCATCCTTAATAAACACAAAATTGCTACAACTTTGTCAGTTTTACAAATATTACCTTAAAATTGGATGTGGTACCAGCTGAGAGTCATCCCCAACACATATTCTGAGCTCAACAACATAATGACAGAACTTTAAACATCAAATATTGGCAGTATCTGTTGGGAGCAACCCGGTCTGTCTGTTAGCAAAATATTTTATGAACCACCAAACAGATTTTAATGAAACTGACAGATGATTATCACTGAACGTACATCTTCACCTGATTAACTTTTGAAGTCAGCCACTTTCAAGATGGCTTCCACAGTTAATCAAACTCCTCAAACACAAAAATGGCTATAACTCTCAACTTTACAGATATTGACCTAAAGTTTGGATTATTTCTAGTTGGTTACATGTCTCTCTTGTAAAATGAGACAAATGTACCAGATTAACCAGTATAAATAAAGAAAATTATCACAGATCAAGATATCATTGTTTAGAGCTTTGGTACGTAAGGGGACAGCTGATATGTATCCTTCAAGGAATGCCACCTTCAGGTTGTTAAACATGTTTGGCCACTCGAGTTATTTTGAATCGAGACCTTTTCTGATATCGCAAACTAAATTTAAATTAAAAATATAAACGCTATCAACGATATCAAGCTCAACGTGGCCAAAATGTTGATGAGGTACAAAAACAAAAACACTTAATCACAGATTTTAGTTCACCTATGCCTTTAAAGGTTTGTGTTTTTACAATTTTTTGCTAACACACATGTTGATTGACAGCTGAGCTGCACATGCATGAGGTCAGGCGATTTGTTTGGACAATCCCAGCCAGCCCTCTGCAGATGCACACAAAAACTGAGCTTTCATCACGCTGTGTAATTCACCGGTGGTCTTCCACAGGCGTAGGAAAGTGTGGTCGAGGTGAGGAGTGGTGGTCGTGGTCATGTTACGAGGTTTTGAAACTGGGGAGTTTGAAAAGAAGAGGCAGACTGCGAGGAAGCAGGGAGAACTCCAGCCGGGCGGCAAGCTGTCCAGCGTTTGCTTGCCCTGGGATTCCTCAACAGCCTTAAATATGCCAGTTATTTTTAACCAGCAACGTAGCAGGGCTCAGCGCCCGCCCCCTTCTGTTAGACTGTTTCCTTTCTCTCAGGGCGAGGGGGGAGAGAAAGGATGGGAGCCATGCTTCCTGGTCACATGATGAAGTCCAGGGAGCCAAGTGGGGAAAAGTGGGGGAGAGAGAGCAAAGGAGGACGAGAAAAAGAGAGCATGGCTCCACGCTCACACCAGCCCACACATTCACTCAGCACCTCCCTTCTCCAAATTTTAGGCTGGCTCCCAGATGAGAAGGCCTGTTTTAATCAGATGCTCGGACGTCAGAAGCCCGGGAAAACCAGAGCGGTGATTGGTGTTTGCGAGCTGCAGAGGAAATGAGAGAGTGGGTAGAGCACATCGGCAGACATAAGGCTGGGGAGGAGGGCCGCGTGACGTCAGGCCACGGGCCCACCAGGATTAGAAGCCTCTAAAAAGAGAAGGCCTGGGACCTGGCGTCTAGAGCTGAAGAAAACTTGTTTCTCTGTCTGTCTGACATGGGAGATTCAGGGACTTACCATGAGCTCACCTTGTTGACACACTAAGTTGGACTGCTTAGCCGCCACATGGCTGTAATGTTTGACAGATTTGCACTGTTTCCCATGCAGCGCTAATACATTTAGGGCAACAGATTTGTATGCAAACTGCTCTATGTAAGACAGCTTTACACTTCCAGTTTTAACACTCAGACCAGAACGGTTCGTCTATTTTAAATACCAAGTTTACAGTTCAGGAGGCACCAATGTAAACTTGGAACGCTGGGACAAGAGTTTATGGTCAAAAAGGCAAATGGAGTGGACTAAAAACCTGCACGCTTAAAGTCAAATGGCTGCAGAGCACATGGACAAAATAACAGCCCTAGAAGGAAAAGCAGTGAGGGCAGGACTGAGCTGTTCCAGAATATTTGAAGAGGTAAAGGTGAGGCGTCGAGCCTCAACAGCACGTGCGCAAACGGGCTTCATGATGGAAGCAGCAGCATATCTGGTGTCTGTTCAACTGCCAGCTGAACTGGTAACTTGTGTGAAAGTTCCTGCCTAATCTGATAGGTGTATAGGTGTAGAACTGGTTTGTGTGATCTGAAGTGGAAGCAGGTTTGGTGTGCTTCGACTTGAAAAACAAAAGGAGATAAAGGTGCATTCCACTTTTCTTTCTCTTTGTCTTCTTGCCTATTTCCACCACCTTTTTCTTTTGTGCGCACCAAACTGTAGCGCTTTCAATGATTTTCTTTGAATATCGCGTTTGTTGATCATATTTGTGAGTTTAGAGTTGTAACATTTGAACAAAACAGTTCACTAATCAATAAAAACTAATGCTTTTTTCTGAAAATATAAATTTAATGATCATCTTACCTGTTGTAGATGTTTCTTTGAACCACCTCAGTTTGGAGAAATAATTTAATTCTGATCACACTGACTTGCTTAAGGCCGTTCTAAGTGATTACTAGACCAAAGTGGATTGTTCAAGAAGAAGTATTAAAGATCCCACATACTCAGGAATACTTCACTATGCAGAGGTCTGTGCATACACGATTAGGACTCAACGCGGACTCGAAGCAGACGTCCGCAAGCCATGTCTGCGCAAAGATAAATTTTTACGACCGTGTACACGTACTCGCACAATAAACTGCCCGGCGATGGACTGTTTTGTATGTGACACCAATGTATTAAATTCCTCTTCTTGATCCCTGATCTGGTTTAATGGCCTTTTCTTTTGTTTTTTTTTTCCAAGAGGCAAGTGATCTCTTCCTCCTCGTCCGTTGACGCCATGACTGAAATTGTGAGAAATTAAGGAATTTGCCACGAGATAATTAAAATCAGGTTCAGTGTGGTTGTGGGAGGGTCTGGATATTTCCTGGTGGGTTGGTCTGATGTGTGGACTGCAGGGCCAGCGCTCCCTGATTTTTTAAATTTTTATTATTTAGTACTTTTTATTAACAACATATAACACCGCTGCCGCTGCTCCTGGGCTGCGACCTGTCAATCAATCCAGTAGGCGTGTCAGCAAATGACCAATCGGCAACCTCAATTTGTCCCGAAGGTAAACGCCCCTTTACCTGCGGAGCTGGCTGCAGCCCATCAGGGTGTACGCTCGAGTATGAAGTCTCAACCGTCTGTGGACAGTGCGGTTCACGGTGTACACACAGTACGCCCGAGTATGTGGGAGCCTTTACGATACCCCTGCTAACAG